ATATTACGCGGAAGAATATTCTGAGCAAGCTAACTGTAAGTATTATGCTGTATATGTTTTGTTATTAAAAAAAAAGAATATTTCTACATTATGAATTGTGTCTGGACATGTTAAGTGGGTGCTGATGTCCTAACAAACCCACTCAGTCGGAAATTGACATCTTTAGCAAACAGAAGTCATTAGGGAAGTAAAAACAAAATTAAGTTTCATTACTTTCGCATTTTGCTTAAGTTGCCAGGGATTTACGTATTTATTGGACAAACTAATTAGAGGTTTTTAATGGTGTAATGGTCCAATTCAAACGAAAACAAAAAATTTCAGCAAAAGTGATATACTTAGAAATTAAAAACGTCATTTATTGTCATAATTTTCGCATTTTGCTGACCATGATATTTTGATAGATTTTAACGTGTGTGTCAAACTGTTGCCGCTTGCGTACCATACGCATAATGCAGTACTTAATTAATTTTTTCGAAAACAAGCAACTTCTGCAGTAAGTAATGTATTTGAACGTAATAATCGGTTTATTAATGTTTCAATAGCCTAATACAAACTGTAATTTACATCTTAAACAAACAGGAGATACTAGGGAAGTAAGGGTGTAATTAATTGGAATAATTTTCGTATTTTGATGACGTTGACAGGTATCTTTGGTGCTAAACTGCCTGTTGCATGCATACGGTACGTATTTAACATGCAGTTTCGCATGTTTTTTTTCCTATAATATTTCATCATCAAAAAAAGGGATTTTTAACAACAAAAGGCTTCATATTACGCATAAGAATATTCTGAGCAAGTTAAATGTAAGTAGTCTGCAGAATGTGTTTAAAAAAAAAAGAATATTTCCACTTTATGAATTGTGTCTGGACATGTTAAGTGGGTGCTGATGTCCTAACAGACCCACTCAGTCGGAAATTGACATCTTTAGCAAACAGAAGTGATTAGGGAAGTAAAAACAAAATTAAGTTTCACTACTTTAGCATTTTGCTTAAATTGCCAGGGATTTACGTATTTATTGGACAAACTAATTAGAGGTTTTTAATGGTGTAATGGACCAATTCAAGCGAAAATTTAAAATTTCAGCAAGAGTGGCATACTTGGAAACTAAAAACGTCATTAATTGTCATAATTTTCGCATTTTGCTGACACTGTCAGGTAAATAAGTTTGTGCCAAAATGCCTGTTGCATGCATACGGTACGTATTTAACAGGCAGTTTCGCATGATTTGTATTTTTCCACAAAACTGTAAATCTAAGAAAAGCGGTTTTCTCTACTTTTACGTTTTCTCTACCTTCCGTGACACCTACAGTACGAAGGTGTCCCGTTTCTGTCTGTCTGGCCGTCTGTCTGTACATCTGTCTGCGGTCCCGGATTTTTATGAATTATGATACAGATAATCTACGAGCCACCGATTGTTGTCAAATTTTGTATTTATATTAGGAATATCTTGTAGGTAATATCAATTCCCGCTTGAATTGGGCTATTGGAACATCGAAAACCATTAGCACACCCAGATACAATCTATCCCATAGAAATTCCTAGTTTTTTAAGCAAATACAGTATAATCAGCGTGCTTAGAATATTCTTATGAATAACATAGAGTGTTTTGTTCTTAAAAATCACTTCCTTTTTGATTTAAAATTTTGGGGGAAAATAAATGTCATGCGAAACTCCCTGTTAAATGCGTACCGAACGCATACAACAGGTAGTTTGGCACACACTTTAGTCCCGGTCACTGTTAACAAAATGCGAAATAAAGACAACAAATAATGCCTTTACTTCCCTAGTATTTTCTATTTGTTAAAGGTTTCAATTTCCGCTTGACTTGGGCTATTGGAACATCTAAAACCACTTTGAATTTCCAGATACAAACAATTGTGTCGAAATGTTTTATTTTTTAAAAAAGTAATTCTAAGGGTGACGTACTTAGAATATTCTTATACGTAACACAAATCCTTTTGTTTTTTGGATTTACAATTTTGTTGAAACCTACCGCAAACTTTATTAATTATAACATTTTAAATATAAATGCCAAAGTGCCTTTTAAATATAATTAAATTTTTTTGGCCATCTATCGTCGAGGGGCTGAACTATGCCGTATTTTCCTTATGTGCGAAACTGACTAGTTTATGAGTTTGGTCTACTACAGTGTTGCCATAGTGTGCCGACCGTGCCAAAGTTCCGGGATTACATACATATATATATATATATAAAAATGTTAGAAATGTTTAATTATTACCTCTTCCCCTACATGCAGTTTAGCTCTTCCATTTCCAAGGAAATGGGCCTACACCCAAATAAATAATTTTGTTAGTGTCCAAAAGCTCGGCCGCGGTCAAAACTATTTGGACACGACACTATCAAAATTGCTAAAAACAATTAAAACTAAAAATTCAGTGGAAATCAAAGAAATCTTCCCCTGAGAATAAAAAAATAACCAAAGTTAACCGGATTAAAACATGCACTTAAAATCTACGCTAATTATGAAAATAAAACAATCAAAAAAAGAGATAAGTAATTTTTACTTTCATTAATTCGCTAAATACGCCAGGCTAAACTAAACGCAGAGAAAATAGTACATACCATCAATGCTCTAAAGTATGGTGGAAGCATTAAATTCGCATAAAGTGCGAGATTTCCCAAAACTATAATGATAATAATAATAAACTCAAAATAAAATTATCAACTGCAAAGGAATCAGATTAAAGTGCTTCCGATTCGGAAATCTCCCAAAAACTCATCTAAAATATCCGAGTTTCGAACGCAGGGGTTGAATCCGGAAACCGAGGAACCGTTGGATTAATTTTCGTAAAAGGCGATCGGTAAATTATCAAAAAATCCTCCCCAACGACCAAAAGCTGACGCAATGCCAAGAGTACCGCCCGCAAACGAGAATATCTGTTAACGCTAAAAATTCCTTCCGCCCCCGGCGCTATCTGTTCACACCAAACGCATCGAAAAAAATCTTAATAGGCCCGAAGTCGAGAACACATTGGAGTAGCGAGAGCGAGATAAGTTAAGTGCGACTGATGTTAGACTTACACAGATGCAGCATGGAAATTTTTCTATCTTCTTCTCGGTCCCAGAAAATTTTTCTAAATCCGGATTTCTTTAAAATGCAGCCAAAAATAGTAAAAAAATCAGTAAGCAAACGGACAGCGTGACCCGCGGCAACTCGGAACGTAAATGAATATCGCTTTCTGCGCTACTGCCCTTATAGGGATTTTTGCCCATTTCTTCAGTCTCCCGCGACGTTAGTGAGCCATAAAAAGACTTAAGTTATGGGTTACTCGGAACACGACTTTTAGGTCTTATTTTGCTGTTTTATAAGGTTTAGTTTGGTTTAAATAGGATTTCGTCTCTGACGGATTTACGCGAGTTCTTTGACCTGTTTTTTATTCATATGGATTTTGCTTGCTGCTGTTTTAGTTTGGGTACGAATTCGAATGAAGGTAATTGCGATTGGCAGTTTTTATGGGTGTATGCTTTTGCGCATGTTGTTCGCAATGTCTGACAAGCGCAATGATTTTGAAATTTGCGAATATGCGAATTTTGTTCTTACGTTTGGGGATTGGTGGTCGAGTCTGATTATATCTGTCCGAATGGTACTATGTGCAGATTTGGACATGCGTGTTAAGTAGTTGAATTTTGTTTTTATGTTCTGGGGATTTCTTTTTCGTCTTTTTGTTGCGATTTTCTCGTGAACTGATTAGTGACGACCCGTCCCACCATTTACTATGTGTACAATTTTGAAGTGACGTCATCACATTATTGGTGGGGATGATTAGACAAATTTCGGTTAGCGTTTTATCATCTATATAACATTCCTGACATAAATACTTTTGGAGATTATCTGTGTACTAAAAATCCGAGATGGCAATCAGACAGACAGACGGACACACGGACGGACAAACAGACAAACAGGCGGAAACGAGAGACCTATTTCTTCGTACTCTATGGGTCATGAAAGATCGAGAAAACGTAAAAGTAGAGAGTCGGTCGACGGACTCGATTACAATACTTCCTTCGCTCACGCTTGGGAAGTAAAAAACAACTCTGTATTATATCTACATATGTATTTAATTTAAATAAAATATTCTAGCAATGGTTCAATACTATCCATTTCTCCACTGGATTTTGAGGGTTGTTCTTATCGATGTCGTCGTCCTCTGAACTCAGTTCTTCATCCGAATCACCGGTGTTGACGACAAAACACAGTTCATCGGATATTGCATCAAATATATGTACAACCAGCGGGTCTACCAGGCCCAGGTTGCCCCCGTACACACGTGAAATGCGTTAAGGGTTTATTGTAAAATTCAGTGAATAGTGCATTATGGTTTATAGAATACCATCTTACCATGGCTTAATATTAATGAATATCTGATTTATTACCCTTCAGGATTATAGTTAGAGATGAATAAGTACTGAAGGCTACAATGTAAAGTCTCCCAAATACTATAAGGTTATAAGGCTGTTGTAAAATTAGGGTATTGTGAAAACTACAATGGAGCAATTAATAAGGCAAACCCACAGTTGTAAATCTTTGCGACTGGACCTGTTCCCGACCGTCATCCATTCCAGAGACGGTGGACAAGATCGAGTATTTTTCAAAACATTTACCCACCAATTGTATTTGGTTCAATGTACCAAAAATGTTTAAGCGGATTACCCTGCAGTAGATATTTAGGTGACAAGACAAATTCTTGAATTATGACGCTAGGCTTGAGCCGGTAACCAGCGACTCGATAGGACTTATAAGATCCAATTATTAAGTTTAGTGAGGCCACATAACCTTGTAGTATTGGGGAGACTATACAAAATGATGGTATTTAAAACATGAGATTAGTCACAGAACATTGGTAGTGGACCTCTTACCTACAGTTTTGTCTATATAACCACCATTATCAACATAAAATGTCAAAAATTACTCTAAAATTACTACCTACTCTATAACTATACTACCAACAACTAAGAAAAACGGGAAATAAAAAAATGTGTCTGTATTTATGGCATTTATTTTTTATTTAGATACAGATATTTTGTGCTTAAATCTGATTTTATCTATGTACAATAGATAACCAAATTTGTATCTAGAAAATGTATTTAGATACAAATATCTAATCAAGACCCAACAGTGATTACCAACCTAACTCTACCCGGACCGCATACGTGCAACCCGCGTGTACTATGCCTGCTACCCTGGAATACTGGCAACTGTTTCATTTATCGCCCCTGTCCGTACTTGTATTTTCTCATGGTTTTTTAAGAGGTACCCAGTTTTTTCTCAAGTTTCCATGCAGTCTTGTGGATAAGCCAAGCAGCCAAGTTTTTTCTCTTTCGCTGATTTGTGGAAATTAATACCCTTGATCTATTTAAAGCTCATGCTTTATTTATGTTTTCAAATAATCCTTTATAAACATTTCATAAGATTTCTACTGCAACACAAATTTAATACAAAAATATTAGACTATATCGGCACATGTCGAATACGTAAGACTTATTAAAAATACAAAAAAATATAAGATTCAAACAAAACAGTACTAAATTACTGTAGTGGCTATAATAGAAAACAAAAACAAAACTAACATCTCGAGCGCATAAGTATAGTAGTAACTACATACGTGTCTTAAAAATGAAAATACACAATTGAAGGAAATTCCGCATACAATGTAGCATTCTCTTTACAAGTATGACATAAAATTATTTTATACCTTCACATTCATTTTTACACATATTTCAATAATATGCGTTTCGTGACGGAACTACCAATTACACACTCAATGAAACATCAATTAAAAAAAAATGTTGTAAAAATTTATTACCTACATAATTAAATGATACAGGATATAATTAACTAATAGATGTTAAGTTATATACATTTCAATCTTCCATATTATGAATTTTCAGATGCGCTAAATTCAACAATATATTTCAAGTAATCAAGTGTGTAAGGCTTATTTTTAATTTTACAAAGGGAAATTAAATTTACTGTAACTTTGTCACAAAGTGTAAAATGGAATACATCGTAAATATTTTGAAACAAGCTTAAAACACACGTTATTTTCATTATTATCTGAAGTCCAATCATACACGATCAAATAGTTCAACACCATCAATCTCATAATAAAACCTGGTCAAAACATGGTTTAGAACAATTGACTGGAAAAAATCGTCACGGACTGTCAAAATTACCTTTGCAGTGTGGATGTTGACTCCGTGTCAATCTGATCGTGTATGGCAAATTTACTGACTTCTTAAAAGAAAATCATTTTATATAGGAAAATATGTTCAACAAAAATGTTAATATTACAAACTACTATATGTATTTAAATTTATAAAGCATAAATAACAATACCTGAAGTGATATTTTATAACATAGGTTCTAGCTTAACTTCGATCACAGATAAATCGTCAAGTATGCGCCGTTGATATTTCTTATAAAACGCATGAGCGGATGCAACAGATTTAAACAAAATTGTTGCTTGTCGCTCTTGCTTATCCACTCGTAGTTGCTGAAATGTAATTAAGAAATAAATATCTATTCGTCAACTCAAATTTATTAAATGTTGAAAACCTTGCAATGTTCCGAGATGTTACGTATTTTCGTTGCAGATTCATAATAACCCAACATTTCTACCAACTAAACACACGCAGACTAAAGTATGGCAGCTTCTCCATCAAATCACGGAAAAACAAATTGCCTAACCCATCAATTTGCTTAAATAATAATGTCTTTGTAGTTCAAAATATTGATATTTTGGTGCAGGACAATTTATTTCAAACTTTCCTCTTTTTACTATAGAAATAACAATTGTCGAATGAGCCCACTCTTCTGTTTCGCGAACTTTTCGTTTACTTTTTTCAATGGCGAAGTAATTATGTTTTCAAAGCAAGAATAAACTACACATTTCAAAAATATGTCAATTACTGTTTCTTTACAAAACAAAATCGGAAAACCAGTAGTATCACAAAGGTGTTTGGAGGTCAGATTATTAATAAGACATGTGTCAGCTTCTTCCTGGTAGCAAACTTCTTCTGAAATTAAATGGTTTTGTTGCAGTAGTGACAGTATTTTGTATCACAATCCACGTCCTATATTTTGTGACTTTGTAACAATTCTATAAGGGTTCAATAAAAAAACACTAAAAAAACTGTTTATAATAAAGCTAAAATACGCAGTTCCTATTTCAAAAATTTAAAATAATCGTATTACTTCTTTATGTTAAAAAACGACTAGAATAGGTTTGTAAATATTCTATCAATTAAGTGGTCAACACCAAACATCAATATTTTAAACTAACACTTTCTTATATAAACAAACTTTGGGACATTTTGTACACTAAAACCACTTAATTAGAAAAGCTAGCTTACGCTCAAGATCTAATAAAAATAAGTGCCAAAAAGTACATCGATTTAACGATTATTCGATAAAAATATAAAAAATATATAAAAGTTTTATCACAATGTTGCTTGAGTATATCACCATCAATTTGTACGATGTGTATGTAATCACAGCTTAAATCACAGCTATAAAGCCAAAATGGAATGACATTATAGATCTCCATAAATACAAAATGGATTTGTTACTTAAAAAAGACTAGGAATCGAGTCTAACACATTTAGAAATGAGATTAGAACTCATGAGAGCTTTAGCACAATGCAACCCTTGATAACTAGAGAAGAATACATCTGCATTAACACGTATTTAAACACACTATCATCACAAACGATTACACCTTCCTTGTTGCAAAATTCTGTTCCACATTAAAAATTCGGTTTTTGAAAAAATGCTTTTTTCATAACCGTTTAGTAGCACTATCAAAAACGCTTATTTATTCGCAGGCATACGCACTCCACTACAATTTTCTACTACAGAATAATCTACTAATCTATCAGTTAAACACAAGTAATCAGAAGCATCCATGTGTAAAAACCCAGACATTCTTTTCTTTCTAAAAATAGCGCCAGAATGAACCATTTCACTTCAAACAACGTAGACAATGGAGTGTAAAACTTCTCTTAACCATAAGGATTCTATGGTTGCACGAAACCAATAAAAGTTACACATATTTTTGTTGCTCAGCAATTTGAAAACACCAAACACATTTTTACAAGATCCGTTTCCAACTTCCCGAACTTTATATTGTACCGATACAACAAAATTTTTTGAACTAGAAGAACAAATTAAGACTGAAACTGTTAAGAGCAACAAGTGAAAGACAACAGACGAGACTGAACAAATTATTCATGAACCTAGTTGAAAAGATTAATATGATTCTTTTTGTACTTGGCTGTAAAAAAAAGCGCAACACCAAAGGCATCACGAAATCGAATGTACGCAAGCTTAAGAAAACCCCATATATAAACAAGTTCAATAATTGTTTTTCATTTAATTGGAATAAAACAAGCAGCTCGCAAGAAAAATTAATATTATTAATAAAATATGAAACTACAATCGACCTGTAATGCATCAAGCACCAAGCCAGGATTCAGTATTGCAACGGAAAATGACAGTAGTCCAAATTTAACAAGAACTAATTTTAACATATAACGAAACGTGGGACCCGGAGGTTCGATCCAACTCGATTCGGCAGTATGTTTACTAGACAACAAGAGAAAATGTTACTGAAGAGAATCACACCAACCATAAACAATACGAAGATTATCTTACCTGTATTTCCCCTATGCCCTGAGACAACGCCATCAATTTGTTTTGATTTATGGTAGCTGACAAATTATTAACAACCACAAGCTTCGTATTAAGTAAGTTGTTGTCTTTCTTCAACACTTTACGGTTATTGAAGAAAGACGAAAGGCCTTGCCCGGTGTCGGAAGATTCGCTACTGGCCTCATTACAAACTTGTTTGTTAACATCGGAATTGGTCAGGACTTCATTGCTCGCTTTAGTTTTACTTTTTACGACAACTACCCGATTGGACATGAAGCCGCTAGAAGACGCTTCAGCCTTGGGCAACTCTTTTGCAACTGGAGCGTTTGATTGAAGATTATTGGTAACTTTAAAAGTGAGATTTGGCATTTTCTTCGGCAAATCTTTGATCGGGACGTTCGACTGACGATCATTTGAAACTTTGAACGTGAGATTCGGAAATTCAGGAGGTAAATCTGAATTTGAATTATCGGAATAGTTCGTCGTTTGTTGAGGATAGTTCGATGGAATAGATGACAAAGTAGAGTTCTGATTTTGCCTAGAAAGTTGCCTTTGAGGTACTTTTCCCAACCGTTGGATTACATTTGGAACAGAGCCCGACGTGAGTCGATTAATTTTTTGAACAGGAATAGTTCCAACCGCATGTTCAACCATATCTCTTTTAATGGATTGGTTGTTGGTATTATTGTTTTGTAGATTTTGTTTTAAAGGATTTTGTTTAAATCCTTCGGAACCTGGGATCAGTAACTTTTGTTCCTCTTCCTTCTGACGCTGTAGCATCATTTGTTTTCTTCTTTCTTCTTTTATTCGTAAAATCCTTTCTCGTTCCCGTTTCTGTTCTTCTATTTTCAACCGATATAATCTAGTTTCTTCATCCTCCTGTTCTTCTGTATTATTAATTACCTATCAAGGAATTTCACAATAATTTAAATAGTTTATTTTTATTTACTTACATTAACGCTTACTGGATGTGTTTGTTCTGTACTAGAAACCTCTGTTTCCTCACTAACTTCAGTCGATTGTGGATTGTTTTCAGTCATTTTTACTTTCTTTTCAGGTAATTCTTCTCTAAAATCAGTGCATTCAGTATTGTTAATAGGTCGTCTGTTGCCTTGTTTAAAGTTTTTATTTGGAATATATGTATTTTCCCTTCTTCTAAACTGGCCTTGTTGTATGGGCCTATTTTGACATTGGTCCTTATTAGAGTATGCCTGATTTTGTTGAACTTCCTGTTTGTAATAATTTAAATTATCACTTCTTGCTAAAACATCATTTCTAGTTTCGTAGTTTCCACTATTATAGTTATTGTAGTTCTCCTGTTTTGGTGGATAGTTAGAATAATTTAAATTCTTACGTTCATAATTATCTCCAGTTTGCGGTGGATAATAATTATTACTATACATACTCGGTCTTGTATTATATTTATTGTAATTTAGGTTATTACCCTCATACGAGTTAACTATGTTTGAATTTTTTGTAGGTCCCATATTTTGATTATTTGTCCGATTGTAACGATTGTAGTTGGAGTAAGAAGAGTTATATGGTTTAGAATTTCCTTGCGGTCTGTTCATTGACAGCTGACTGTTATACGGCTGTTGCTCGATTTGTCTTGAATATGATTGTTGTACTGGAGGATGATGAATTTGATTTGTTACCTAAGAAACAGTACACTGTTGAATGACAAAAAGAAAAAAAATCAAATTTAAAAGTGTGAGAATGTTAACAGTTCACATCTTGTTATAGTACTATTCAATAGACACGAAAATTCAATAACTAATTTGTTAGTCTGATATCTAAGAAACTTAAAAAAGATCAGTCTCTGAAGAGTATTTCCTGCATTAAAATTCTAAAGTCTCTGGTAAAATAAAGTCATATGTCAATGTTTTCCCAGTGGTTGGAAGTAATTCAGTTACAAGTAATTCATTACTGTAATTAAATTCCTTTTCAAGTAATGAGTAATTGTAAAGAATTACTTTTTTTGAGTAATTCAGTCACTTTTACAATTACTTTTTGCAATTTACTTTTAACCCAAATACTCAAATATTGTTTTGTTTTTCTGTACGAATCGTTTACCTGACCTGTTGGGATTATTATACCTGTTTCGTCTCCACAAAGAGAAGATTAACCCAGTAGGGAGTTAAAATCTAATACGAGTTCAGCACAGAATTTGTTAAGAAACCCATAATATATGTACATAAGCTCTTCGTCATTTAAAGAGTGAGCTAAAGCATATCCCAGCATAGGAAAATACATATAAACTTCTGCCCAAGTTTTTGCCAAAAGTATACGTCCGATTGTAATAAACTTCACACCGTTGAAATGAACGTAAAAAACCCTACCCAGACTGCTTTTCCGTTTTTTTTTTAATTTTGTGCTCAAAAAAAACCTACAACGCGTTAAAATTGTGATGAGCACTGGGCGGAAAAATATCTTACGGATGCAATTCCCCAGTTGAAGCAAGGTGTGTTTTACGGCGAGTAGCGGGGACGCTTTGATCTGGTCCACAAGGTCGTAGCCAGTGCGTCGCTTGGAGTGTTTACAGCTTGTTAAAAAACTACTTCTATATTACTATATTACTTCAAATAAAAATACTCGATGCCCTTTTTAATTTTTCAAACATAGGACCACAGATTTGTGATCTTGAAATGTTATATTATGTTGATATAGTCCAAAAGAAAAATATATTTGTAATCAAACTATCGCCGCGACAGCACTGAATCGAGCGTATGAAACACAATTCCGCGCGTTGGTGATGAGTATGAGATTATCTGGTTTTTGCTATTTATGGTTTCAATTTTAAATTTTCAAAACGGTACATTAGTAGAAATTGTATTAAAAAATCCATTGCGTTTTACACAAATAAAATATCTTAATAAATAATTGAGTAAACAGGAGTAGAATATTTAAAATTTATGGTCCAACAAAATTTAGCCATTTTTCTGGTCCACTCAAATCTATAACCGGTAACCGTTAGCGCCCGTCCTTTTAAACCGCTCACAATCCCTCAATACAGTTTTATGAGAGTATCCACCCTCTAAAGTTTTCTAAATTTAACCTGTAAGTTACAATGCTAATTAAGAGACAATTAATGGCAGACTTTTAAGTTTACATTATCTTGTAGCCCCCTAGTATTTAAGGCTCCTCCTTACACTCATTAAAATCTGCCGAAATACGGCGAAACGCCACTTCCAATATCATCCTTACTATAGCACTTGAAGACTTGTGCGACATATCTACTTGTTCGTGATACAAAAATCTTCATGGAAATAGTTTTTATATTGCATTAAAGGCTTTCGTTTTGTTAATAAAAAATAAAAACAGAAAAACTTATTTTTCTCTTTGAGCCAAAACTATAACGTATTTTGGCTTAAAAAAATCTGACAGTGTAGATAATATTATTGCTCACCTGGGGCCAATAATTATTTTTTCGTTAAACTATCCATTTTTTAGTTATTGTTGATTAAAGCAAGACCTAAAAAGGGCAGTTTTTGTAAATGTAGGCAACCAAACATCTTCTTTCGTCAAGAACGAGCCAAGAAAGTGAATGATTTACGATAGGGGTTGGCCACTATTGAGAGATTAGACGGATTTAAAACCCTTGTTGAGAAAATATGCAAATGAGGTGACCGTAGTGTGTTCTACCTGAAGGTTGTGGAATCGTACAATTATGTAGGAGTATTATATTAATCTAATTTCAGAATAACAAATAAATAACCGAGTTTGGATTTTTTACAAAACTGCCTAACTTGTTTCAACAGCTATAATTACTGCTGATCCCAAATGTGAGATAAATTAGACAAATTTTAAAATTATCAATCACTGAAAAAGAAAAGAATAGAACAACTTTTTCCAAAGCACACTATGAAGATTCGATTATATGTGACACTAATAATAATCGAATGTATGTGTTGAATTACTTACATATCTTTATGTGTACATATTAAAGATGTACCGACTGTAGGTCTGGCCGACTAACCGACTAGCCGATTGTTCGGCCAGTAAAAACCGACTAGTCGGCCGACTGTTCGGCTTTGCTAAAACCAGTTTATAAATGCGACAAACAGTGTGTTTTTTTTCCTATTTCTCTGACTACCTTAAATATTTGTTCTATTTTAATAAAAGGAATAACTAAAGTTCCTTTGTTTTCCAAAAAATGTGTTAAATTTGTTTGGATAATTTTAACATTTAATGTTTTTAGTAACTCAGTACAAAAATAAAGAATAACACAATTTAGGGCCAGTTTATACAATATTTTAACTGAGATTAAGTTGATCGCGTATTTAACAAGGCCATTAGCGACGTCTGATTGGCGTAGAGTCGGTCACATGGTACTTTAACGCAGGGTTAAAAATTAAATCGCAATTAAATATTTAATTGAGGTTCTGTAAACCGGGTTTAATTGTTTGATATACTATTATAATTTTAATAAAAAAAAGCCGACCGATCGGCTGTTTAGCCGACTAGTCGCCGACTGCAGCCGACGATGAAAAACGGCCGAATAGTCGGCTTATCCGACCGGTCGGCCACTAGTCGGTACATCCCTAGTACATATTATAACCTCTTCTAAATTTAAAAATGTATATAAATTTTTTTGACTGAGATAGAATATAATAAATATAATGATATAAAAATAAATAATGGTCTGTAAATCATAAATCTTTTTTTATTATAGGACGAAGCTGCTGATTTCGACTCCATCGTGAATCAATAATTTCTGGGAGCATGGCTTTTAAATAAAATTTTTCCAAATAATTTTCCATTTCTTTCTCCCAAAAATCGTCATTTCTTTCAATTAAAAAATATTGTAAATCAACCTCAGTATATATGATGAAATAACACCATTTTTTTTGTGTTATATGAAGTTGCCCTTGCACTTGAGACATGTAATCGTGCTTATATTTTAGTACAATCGAGTCGTCAGCTTCATTGATGACACAAAATTTAATGGTACCGTCTTTTATGGCATCTTTAATTTTTTTATTTCGGGCAGAAAAAGCACACTTAATTTCTATAATTGTATCATTATTAATTACTCCGTCTGGAGACGCTCCCAAAAATTTTTTTACGTTATCTATGAATAAGCCGCATGGTAACACCTTTAAACCTGTCAAACACTCAAATTTAATTCTGGCTTGTTCCTCATGAACTATTCCAAACTGTATAGCGTCGGATATTTTTTTGGAGAACGTTGTATCTGAACACACTACGGTCACCTCATTTGCATATTTTCTCAACAAGGGTTTTAAATCCGTCTAATCTCTCAATAGTGGCCAACCCCTATCGTAAATCATTCACTTTCTTGGCTCGTTCTTAACGAAAGAAGATGTTTGGTTGCCTACATTTACAAAAACTGCCCTTTTTAGGTCTTGCTTTAATCAACAATAACTAAAAAATGGATAGTTTAACGAAAAAATAATTATTGGCCCCAGGTGAGCAATAATATTATCTACACTGTCAGATTTTTTTAAGCCAAAATACGTTATAGTTTTGGCTCAAAGAGAAAAATAAGTTTTTCTGTTTTTATTTTTTATTAAAAAAACGAAAGCCTTTAATGCAATATAAAAACTATTTCCATGAAGATGAAGTAGATATGTCGCACAAGTCTTCAAGTGCTATAGTAAGGATGATATTGGAAGTGGCGTTTTGCCGTATTTCGGCAGATTTTAATGAGTGTAAGGAGGAGCCTTAAGAACATCCTTTTTATTAAAGATTAAAAGATTTGCGTCCGCAGGTAATTATCGGTGTACTAACAGGTGTTTACGATTGATTTACACGTAGCCAGTAAGACAAATATTTTTAAATCTTCCACCAATGCAAACTTTTTGTTTAAAAGTTGTTGCAGTTGGCATCGAACATTTATTTGTAGCTAGAGTGGAATGAAATTAGGCGCAAAAGAATCAGCTCTTCAATTTTTGGTAAAATATGTAACATGTTGGCGCGAATGTTTTTAAGACAAAACGTCATGCCTTAGCTGACGAAAATTTTGAATGTCAGTTATTATTGAATTTAAATTATGAATATAGTCCTCTTGCGTGAAGTATTTATTTGTTTTATTTTATTTACTGATGTGGATATGTAACAAGTGCGTTAGTAAAATAAATCACTCACTGCCTTTTTCATTCTAGCACGTTTTTTCTTGACCCTATGGACCCATACAACAAACGTATAAAATTGTGTCTTCATCAAATTTTTCAAAGTGCAAAAAGTAATTGTTAAAGTTATGCATTACTTTTTAAAGGTAATGAGTAACTGTAATGAATTACTACTGTTAATAAATAATGAGTAATTGTAACGCATTACTTTTTAAAAGTAATTGTTCCAATCACTGATTTGTAGACACTATATTAAAATGCAGAGGTTGGCCAATATGAACAGATTTTCATTTCCTTAACATGTTTTCATTGTAATTCAATTAAAATGAAAATATATGAAACTTGACACAGATCAATCTTGTTTCAGATTTATTATATCCTCTGACTGACCACATCTACTTTACAAAGAATATTTTTACTAACTACTATTTTAAATGAAATTTGGCATAAAACGTCATTGATAAAAATAATAACGAATTATAGGCAATAACTACAAATCAATCAAAATTTGGACTAAGAATTACTGTATAAAAAGAAAAACCTGTCAAGAGACTTTATTGCAAAATAACTCAATCTGTGCGCGCGCAACGGATAAATGCCCGTGAGTTCAGTTTACTTTTATTATAAACAAGTAAACATTCAATTAGCCACAAGCAAACAAATAACTAATTTAAAACTATTTTCATTCCATGCATCAAAAATAAGATACAAGTCAGTGTTTGTACTGATCCAGTATGATCAGGTTCATAATCAGTAATTGAGATCACTATGATAAAGCATTAATCACAACTTCTAAAAGCACATATATTTATCTAAACCAACCTGACTGAATTCATTGTATCTATTATTCCACCCTGAGACATCCTGCCGCATTTATGTGAAAAATAATTACATTGTCACCAAAAATGTTAATCACACTTACCTGGTTTTGGTTACTCTGTGAATGATATAAATGCTGATCTTCTACAAGATTTGGAGGAGGTTCATATGATAAAGGCTGCTCATAATTATTAGTTGGAGGCTTATAGAAATGTTGAGTTTGTGGTTGTGACTGAGGCATCAGCATATTTCCTGGTGTCTGTGCAAAGCCATTAGCAATGCCATTCACTAAATTACTCACTAGCAACTGACTTTGTAAATTTAAATCACAATTTCGTAGCATATTTTCAGAATTCCATGGCTGCACAAAACTAGTATTATTTTGAGAGTACTGAGGGTTTTTCCAAGCTAGGCGTGCTAGAAATTAGAAAACATTAGATAAACTTTAATATTAACACACTTAGGCAACTTTACCTTCATTTTCATTAACATGAACTGTTCCCTCATATCTTGGATTAATTAAAACAGTTCCATTTCGTCTCCTTTGCATTTTGTTCTTAACAAAGTTTGACCTTGTTTGAAAGTTTCTTTGTCCATTTCCTCTTTTTCTTTTGTCACTCTGCATTGCATTGTTATTACCACTAAATTTTTGGGGTCCTACAAACAACAAAAAAGTCAGGTTTAACCAAAAGTCATAGTGCAATAATACCAGTATAAGGTTTTTTTGCTTGCGGCGCTGATGTCTTAGCCATTTGTACTGTTTTTGCAGTCGTGTTAGTACCAGAAGTCATATTTTGTTTAAGACTCTGTGGTTTCTCCACAGAAACTTGCGTTTCAATTTTCTTGTGTGACTCTTCTTCCTCTTCATCGTCATATAAAAGTTTATCTGCAAACCCACCCAATTATTCTTTTTCACGTAAGCGCACCATTTTACTGTACCGTCATCTTGAAAATCTTCCTCCACATCTAGATTAAGAACGTCATCTGGTTCTTCATTTTCTGAGTATGACTCAGACTTCTTCCTGTTATCATATCCATCTCTACTTTTTGAATATTCATCTTCTTCTTGGAGGAGAGCTTCTTCTCTCTCGTTGGTTATATCGTAAATGTCATCTATTTCATCTTCACCACCTAATAATTCATCATCAACCCTAAAAGTAAAAAAGAAAAACATGAGAAACTCACCACCGTTGGAATCCATTGTTTGTTTCTGGCGTAACATTATGTTGGTATATTTTACATACTGTTGTTTTATAACAATAGAAAATTAATCACGTTACTTACACATCTGACATCTTACAGAAACAAATGAATGGCTCATGCAAAAATGGAAGTAATCCGTGAAGTTCTGTCCAATGAACCACACGCGACGCACACTTGACACTTGGGATCTCGGGAATAAAAATTAAAAAGTGACAGAACTTGAGGAGCACTTGAGGAGTGAGAAGCCATGCACCAATATTTAAGAAGTAGGAGAAAGAGGGCAGCACGTACGCACGGACACACCATGGACATGCGTATTGCATAATTAGTAAAGCTCAATACACGTAACGACGTAACGCAAGGCGTAACACATAGTCCGTAAAACAGATATCCAACAACCAGGTTTACCTTTTTTTTTACATTTTTTTATTCAATTAAATAAAAACTCCGGTATTATAAATAAATTATTCAAAATTTTGAATTTCAGAGTTGCAAACAGAAAAATGTATGTATTTTTAATTACTCTTTTAAACTTGATAATTCCATATCTAAGGATGTGTCTAAGGCATCACTCTAAAAATATTTTTTTATTAAAAAAAAAGCGCTACGAATATTGGAGTATTTGTTATCGATAGGTATATTGCGATATTTTTAACTCGTGTTTATCGCTGTTGGATAATAATCAGTTGCTACTGTGTAAAAATGCATAAATTCGACATTTCTTTGTTGAATCTCTTATTTCAAGGTGTGTTTTTTACACGGCATTTTTGCTGTTAACTTGGTTCATTCAGTACATACTCCGTGTTGGTTTTGCGTCCTTTGTGGTATAATGAAACTTTCATCCTCAGTAAAAAATTACAAAGTGGTGCCCAGAAAAGAAAATTTAAAGTTCAGGAAAAACAAGAACTTGAAGACATTTTGAAGAAAGTGCTAAAATTAGAGACATTTTTAATTTCTGAGAAACCTAGTACCAGCGGTGAAAGTGACGACTTAATTTGGAAAATTTTACTAAATGTAAAGAAAATACAGTATTGAGTACCTAAAATTTTAATTAAGTATATTAATAAATTAAATTCTTAGATGGAGATATCGATACAGATGTGAATCTTCGAGTTTCAAATGATGTAGAAGTTGAATATGTAAATGGTTTTAATCTTTCCGATGGCACTGCAATACATATCTTTACTTATAAAACCGAGGTTCAGTGTATCCTTGAATACTAAGATATCTATTCGAAAGAAACATCTATTTCAACCCACCAATTTTGGAAATAAAAATTACTATTTGACGCCAGAAAAGTATATTTAGGGGTCTGGATTCTGGATTCTAATTTTATGGGGGCTGACCGTAGCCAACCGGCACTTAGGCCTCGTCTTTGGGCCCATTGTACTTTCCCCAAATCCATATCAGAGTGTATTCCCGCTCCTCTACTCGTCAAGCCACCCAACTGCTTGAAGTAGTATTCATTTATTATTTCCCTTACAGGCATAATAATAATATTCCCAGTAGGGGTACAAATTAACTTAATCTACATCAGATAAACCAATAAAAATAAATAAAATAAAATGAAATAAATATTGGAGTGTTATATAATAAATGTTCTATTCTTTCTGCTTGCTCACCCCTTGCCATAGTTCCCTTATCTTCCATACTTCTTTCATCCAGTCCAGTCCTCTTCCATCCTCGTTTAGCACTTCATCCCTACTTTCGTCTAATTCTCTCAATCCTTCACATCCTTCCAGCATATGCTCTATTGTTTCTCCCTCTCTCCAACATATCCTACAACTTCTGTCAGTTTTATCCATCCAAAAATTATGCTCTTTCTCTTTATTTCCACACCTAAATCTCGCCATCATTCTTTTCTCCTTTATACTCTCTCTGTGTGTGCACTTTGGTACTTCGTCCTTTATTATTTTTCCATAGTCTGCATTATATCTAGACTCCGATATTCTCGATCTGCGTTCTTGCTTATCTATATCCTGATCTCTTACACTCAGTTCTTCTTTCATACTCCTTCCCATTTCTTCTCATTCTATCTATTTTTCCACATACATATCCCTTTCCTTCATAATACTTGTCTCTTTCGATCCAAACATGTTTTCCCCCTTCCTTTCTTATTTCTTTCCAACATTCTTGCAATATTTTGCAATCACCTCTCTCACTAAATTTCTCTTCAAATCCAACCGCCCTTTTACCCGCTTGCACTTTCATTTTCTCGCTTTTTGTTTCTTCTCTCACTATATACCCCGGCGTATACTTTTCCAATCCCAATGTCCATTTCAAGTATTTTTCTTTCACTCTCACTATTTCTTCATATTCCCTCCATCCCCAAATCTCAGCTTCGTAGGTACATAAATACACTTTTGGTCAAACTATCAAACGTCATCATTCTTCTCTTATAATCATGTACAAATTTTCTCTCTCCTATCCCCATACTATTCCTATCACTTTGTTCGCTCTTCGGACCATTTCTTGAATATAAGCTCTATCTGAGTTATTGCTCGTTAATGTATATCCTAAGTACTGGAATTATTTCACCTGTTCAATCATCTTCCCTCTCCATGCCCACTCTTCCTTCTCCTTTCTTACTTTCTTCCCAAATACCACCATTTTTGTTTTTTCCACATTCACTTCCAATTCCTTTTTCATTTCTTCTCTTTTCTTTGCCACAATCACCAAATCATCTGCGTACGCCAACGCCCACACTTTCTCTTTGCCCACTACCACCCCTCCTGTCTGTGCTTTTCTGAACACTTTATATTTATATCTCCTAGATTAGGTGCAAACAATGCGGGGCTGAGTGGGCATCCCTGTCTCACTCCTCTATTTGTATAAAAACCCTCGCTCTCTATACTTGCTGCTTGAATCTACTTGATAATGCAGAAGGTGGGAACTCCCTAATTTTTGCCATACCAGGCCAGGTGTCCCCTTAGTTTGCATTTCCTGCAGGAGGCTACGGCTGAACACTCACGACGAACGTGCTCAGCTGTTTCCTCTTCTTCATTGCATCCACGACAGATTGGGTCTGTTACCATTCCTACAGTATGTAGTTGTTTGTCGAACTGGTAATCTCCCGTAAGGAATCCTACCAGTTTACGCAATTTGTCCCTTGAAAGTGAGAGATAAAATTTTGTCAACTTACGGTCTGGTGTCGCTATACAAGCTCTACTCTGCCAACAGCTGCTCAACGTCGTCCATATTTGCTCATGGCGTCTATGGGTATATTGCTTTACGAGTTCGTTCGAGAGGATGACCGAAGGCGTGATTGCCAGTTCTGGTCCCCAGAAGGGCATGCTCACGGCTCGCTTCGCCATCTCATCTGCCCTTTCGTTTCCTTCGTTGCCACTGTGTCCTTTGATCCGACAAAGTTCTACACTATTCATCTGCGTTACATACCTTAGCGTTTGTTTGCACTCCTAAACCAGCCCGGATCTAACCATACAGCTATTCAGGGCTAGTAGTGCAGACTTGCTGTCAATAAGTATGCATATTGATTTGTTGCCGATTTCACGTTCAGCAACGATTCTAGCTCCCAGCATTATTCCCATCACTTCTGTTTGTAAGACAGACGTGTGGGTGCCGGGAGGTACACAGATTTGTGCGTTCAATTGTTCGGAGTAGATACCGGCTCCTGAACAGCTATCTGTTTTGGCACCATCGACATAGATATCGATGTCGGCTCTTTCTTCTGAATTATCATTCATTAATATTCTATATGTCTTCTCCTATATTAATTTTGTGCCCATTCGGTCACAACCCATCCTTAACAAGGCTATTCTATTGAACGCCTCCATCAAGATACGAGTGTGCTTCGTAATGTGGCCTTGCTTGTTCCATACTCCCAGAGAGTGAAGTCTTAGAAACGTCCTCATTGCCGCTTCCTCTATGTAAAGGTTAAGAGGTGCTAAGCAAAGAAGCGTCTCCAGAGCCGCTATGGGAGTGGTTTTCATTGCTCCTGTAACACTGAGACACGTCATTCTTTGAACGTGTTCAAGTTGAAGGGCTTGTTTTTTGTCTGGCTCTGGGCCACCAAACTAAAGCTTCATAGCACAGCATCGGGCTGACCATTGCCGCGTAGATCCACAGGGCGATCTTCGGTTTTAAATCCCAAGACCTTTTAGGACTAATACTATGCTTTTGAAGGTCGTTTTATCGAACGCTCCTTCAATATCCAAGAACATTCATAAGGTGGAGGAGTTTGTTCTCCATCGCCCGCTCTATACGGTTTACGACTGTGTCTAAAGCCGTATGCGTGGATCTTCTTTGGATGTAGGCATGTTTGTTCGGATGTAGAGGTTGCTTGTTCAAAGCGGTCTCCCGAATCTCTTTTTCACTTAGTCTTTCTTCTAATTGGTCTATGGGATTTAGCCAAGGTGTAATCTCTAACAAATTCATTTTCCATTAAAAACTTTTGCAAAATTTTTGTTTAAGGATTTAGCTGCCAAAGTTATTTTAATATAATGTATGTAATTTTTTTATGAGTTGTAAGGAATTTACCGTAATAGTAATTTGCCATTTTAAGACATTTATAGTAAATAACTTGAAACACTAGACTACCACTGAAATATATGCTGTACTATGAGACCATAAATAGGTTGAAACTGCAGTCTGTAGCTTTTTGGTTGGCTGTATAATCTTCCAAGTTGGAAATTCTTTAGAGGTACCTATTTATAATAAATGTTTTAAATTCATTTTTTCTGTATATTTCACACAGAGAATATGAAAATGTATACAGTTCTCACCGTCAAGTTGAAAATAATGTAGAAACAATTTTAAATGCATCTGTACTGAGCAATGCGCCACCGGATAAAATTCGGCCTGTCCGAACTACGGTATATTTCTGTTCTGTGACCGAACTGCGTTACAAAATTTTGTAACTGATAACTTATATTCACTGATCGAACTATGATAAAATTCTCACTTAGGTTGCGGAGTAAAGTATATCACTGTAATCAGGCCAAAGTAATGGACAAAGTTATTTCATACTCAAAATTCTAAGTAATAGAACGTTTTCTCAAAATATGTTGTTTCAGGTGATTCTAGTAATGGGCGTATTTGGTACGTTAAGAAAAATTGAGATGGTGCAGCTCACTATCGAAAATGTTATTGATAAAGGAAGTGTTATATTAGTGCAAATTCCAAAAACTACAACCGATGAATCCAAGTTGTTTACTATAATAAAAGAGGTTGCCGATGGTTCGGAAGTACGCAAGTTTAAGACCACCCGGTTTAGCAGAGAAAAAGCACAACCCGTTGGGAAAAATTCGATAGGAAGTGTTCCATCTATTATTGCTAGCTACTTAAATTTGGAAAATCCGAAACAATATACGGGACACCGTCTTCGACGCACATCGTCGACTTTTTTAGTCGAAGCAGAAGGCAGTTTTGAAACTTTGAAAAGGCACGGAAAATCAATATTCAAGACGACCCAATTCATTTTCGGAAAATTTGGGAACTTTTATTTTTAGTATTACACTACATCTATCCAAACTGATATACGTGTCTTTGTAAAAATGTTGGTGACGTAATGAGAAAAAAAAACATAGTAGGCATACAGTCGTCATGTTTCCGGCAGCGAGGGAAGTACTGTCTAAACTCTTTAGATCATTTTTTTTCAAATATGATAAACTGGCTGATTACACAGGTTTACAAAAATCAAAAAAGTTTTTTGGACTGAATATCTATTTATCATTTCTACGAGCCCTAACAACTAAATGTTCGGACACGTATTCTTTTATACAAAAAAATGTAATTTAATGAAAAAAAAATGTATTTTACAAAAACAAAACTAGAATAATATATAAGTAGGTATCTTTAATGCAATATTCTCAACAAAAATTGTAATATTATTAACTTAACAAAATGATAACACAACAAAAAGCTGATATGAACGAATAAACTTGGCAACTAAATATTCGGACATGAGTATTTTTTTTTACTTAGTATGGTGTAACATCTCCTTTTGCTTTGATTACTGCGCGTATCCTTGCAGGCATAGTACTTACAAGACTTCTGCAGTATTCAGGAGTAAAACTTGCCCAAACTTCGTCGATTTTTGCTTTTAAACCTAAGAGTGTTCGTTGGGGGTTGTTGCGTAAAACGGATTTTATGTCGTGCCAAAGTGTCTCAATGACATTTAAGTCAGGGCTGTTCGCAGGCCATGAAAGAACTCTTATGTCATAATCCCCAAACCATTTCTTAGTACTTTTTGAGATATGACATGATGCACCGTCCTGTTGAAAAATATAATCGTTGTCCGGATACAGTTTTTCAACAGAGGGCAACAAACTGTTTTCTAAAATTTGCTGGTATTTCATGGCGTTAATACTCGTTTCCACCAATTCATAATTCCCCAACCCTTTAGCTGACATGCATCCCCACACCATTATTCCTTTAGGAAACTTTACAGTTCGTTTTATACAGTCTTTATTGAACCCTTCACTTTTTGATCTTATCACTCTTCTCCGCAAATCTCCCACGCACACATCAAATTTTGGCTCGTCACTAAAAATGACCTTTGACCAATCTTCCATGGTCCATGCCAGCTTAGACTTTGCCCAGTTGTACCTATTTTTCTTTTGATTTGCCGTTATTAAAGGGTTTTCTTTGGCCTGTAACGGCACGGTGGAACAAATGTAAACCAAAAACTTAAAAATTACCTTATAAAAACTTAATCTTGACTTGTGAATCCATTTCCTACAACATTCTCGTAACAGCTTATGCCCTGTTTCATCCGTCCATTGTGCTGTTATGTCCCGCAATGTGTTTCTTCGATTTTTTTTACAAAGTTTTACAAGGGGCCTTTGACTTCTTTCTGAAACTAATTTCGGTCTTCCTGAACTCTTTCCTTTAACGTCTAGTCCACCAGTTTCGCGATAATGTGAGATTATATCCCCTACAGTGGACTTTGCTAAATTCAGTTCTTCACTAATTTTCCGAATTTTTTTACCTTGGCAATACTTCTTTACAATAAGTGCACGTAATGATTTTTCAAGTGGACGTCCACGAACCATTTTGTTAAAGAATATATATATTTTTCTATGAATCTTACAACACAGTTAGGTAAAGCAGGAAGACGAGAATGATATTTATTAACAATCAAACAATTCACACCGCCTACTTAGTGAAAATTAATTTTTTTTATTTATTTGTCCGAATAGTTAGTTGCCAAAGTGTATTCACTTTTTCTGAAAAATCCATAGTCATATTTGAATTAAAATTCTATGTAAAGTAAAACATGCCACTTTTTTATTAAAAACTATTTTTTGAAATCTTAGCTTCCTATTTTTATGTAATTTGATAATAAAAATTAAAAATTAATTCATGAAGAGTGGTTTTTGAACGGTCCGAACATTTAGTTGCTAGGGCTCGTAGTGATTTTCGCTCGTTGAATTCAAATCCGTGTTCAGTTGTTCTCCAGCACGTCTAGATTTTGTGATTGCGCAAGGTCACTAATCATTGGGCTAATCAAAAATTTCGTTAAAGCACTTGACAAAAATGGTACAACCTTTAAATACTTACTCAAAATTTTTACAACGTTATCTTATGCCAAAATAAAAGAAGGTCCGGACATACGAAAACTGATTCAAGACAGCCAATTTACGAGATATTTGTCATCGTGCACAATTTTCTCGGTATTAACAAAAGTTTCGATTACAAAGAAATTGTTGCAAAATTATTGAAGGATTATAAACAAATTGGGGCTCACATATCTTTAAAGTTACATTTCCTTCATTAGCACCTAATTTTTTTTCTGCTAACTTAGGCCCTACCAGTTATGAACAGGGCGAACGGCTACATCAAAATTTACACAGCATGGAAAAAAATTACCAAGGTTTTTGGGATGAAGGCATGATGAGCGATTATTGCTGGATGTTGTTGCGTGAAACCGATGGTCAAACGTATGCTCGACAAAGTAATACTGGACTACACTTTCAATTTTAAAGATTTTTTGTAAGAAAACTGCTAAATATACTAAAATTTCATCAAAACTTGTCATATTCAATATCTCAAAAACCTGACGTGATGGCGACAAACGGATTGCAGAATCGTGTTCAGCTTGCAAAATTGGTCTTAGAACACTAATTGGTTGCTTTGTCCAAAAACTAGTGTAAACCTGTGTTATTCTTGTGTCACGTACGTTGGAGTTGCAGAAATATTTAAAGCCCCTCCCACACCAAGCACACACAAAACACAAAAATATTCTTTTTCGACGTTAACTCTTAAAAACAAAAAATCGCTAGTGCTAGTTTTTAGAGACAATAAAACTTTTCTATGTAGATTTTTACAGATCTTTTTAATTAATTGTGGTGCAATCTTATGTATCAAGTATAGTTATGGTAACGTGTAGCATGTAGCAATGTTAAAATGTGTTGCGGCAATAACAGCATGCACTACATAGTTTTGGGGTCTTGTGTATAACCAACTGAACGACGTTAATCCATAATTGACCCAATTATCTACCATAAACCCTTCGATCTACAATAATTAAACTTGATTTTTACCATATAAAGTGTCTATATTTATAAGCGAGTTGCTGCTGTTTGTAAAAATAAATCTACAGTTTACAAGCACTACTTACTTCATTCATAACCAACCATCGACAATCATCCCAAAACTCTTTCTTGGTTCGCGACGACACACTCACAGTGAACCCAAGTGGTAGCAGACAAACAGAAAACCGGAGAGATTATTCCGCATATGTATAATCTCAGTTGCCCTATCTTCATCATTTTACTGTTGAGTAGGACTGACCCGACTGGTATCAGGCAAACAGAGGAGGAATAGAGGATTGGAACGTGTTAACTTTTGCGAATGTTAAATACGAAATTAATACAATACATAATTTGATAACTACTTACTTTACCACTATTAAAAGATATATTCGTATGGCATGACAGTCGTAATATAATGTATGATTACAGGTGAACATATTTTCAGTGACCAGAAAATATGACAGAAAAAGTAAGCCTAGTTAATCATGGTGGCAATTTTTACCTCTTTTTGTCTTACTAACGACTCCAATTCTCGTTTATAAACAGTGAAAAAACGCTCCGCCTTCTTTTCACAAGGGTTACATTTTAATTCTTAAAATTGACAGGTTAAACTGTTCAAATGTTTTTCCTGTTGAATTTTTCCGGATTTTTAATGAATAAACTAAATAGTGGATAGTATCCAGGCAACATGATGTCGTCTTTTTCACGTGAATAAATGGTCATAATTTACGTCATAGTGACCAAAGATTTCACGTGATATTGACGTACCAATGACGGTCAAATGTCTCGTCTAGATGACGTCATTTTCTCACGAACTATTGACATGATGTACTGACGTCTTAGAGTCGTCATTTTGTAACGAATTATTGACGTGATTTACTGACGTCCCAGAGACGGCATTTATTGTCCATTTTAAGACATTTTTTATATTTTGATTTTTAGAAAAAAATATGCAATAAATAAAACGCTGAAATAATTTTATTTTTTTATATTGTTTAGCTTAAATAAAATATTATAATTCGTTATAATCACGAAGTAAAGCCCAAAACAAAGTATATATTAATTAAAGTTGAAACAAATTAGTGTAAAAAAATTAAATTTACTACAATTTTGTACAACCAACAATGAACTTCAATAAACAAATAAAAAATATGTCAATTAAACAAATTAAAGATAAACCACTCCTAAGAACACAAACAAATCTACATACAGGTAATTACGAGTATAATTATTGGTATAAACAAAAAAAAGGATATTGTACAATATATAATCAAAAATAAACGTTGCTATTTAAAGAAAAATCAGTTTTAAAAACACAAAGAAATTTATTTAGTTACAAAGAATATTAAAAAAAAAACTGTAATAAACTATAGATGAGTCTTAAAACCACAAACAAATCTATTTACAAAAAATATTAAAAAAAAAACTAGAATAAAGGGAAAAGACAATTGAATCGCATTGTTGAAGTTACTTGATTGAAAATGCACTGTAAAACCACAGTATATGTAAAACTATCTAATTTACGACGATTTGACTGTCCCCAACACACAAAAAAGTACCGTTAAGAATTAATTCTGTTTTAACAATCATATCAATAACCTAAGTTTTTTAAGTTTGTCTCAATTTATTGCACTGAAAAGAAAAACCCATTAGAGTGCATGGATTAATGGAAATGCAATCATTTTTTCATCTATGGGAAATAGCAAGCATTTGACTATTATTAAATTTAAGGGATTACAGCTTAAAGCAGAGGACAAATTCTGTATTTTAAAAATGCTATAAATTTACTTGAATCTAACGGATAATCGTAAAATGGTTTCATTGACAAAAACACACAGCCTATCAGGAAAATCTCATTGTCAATACTTTTTACAATGAAGCGAAATGTGTAGATATGTGTAAATAGTAAGTTACCAAAAAGTATCGTAGTATTACAGGCATCTACCGGTATATAATATCCAATATTAATGTTATATATGTATATATGAATTCATTGTATTTTTTTTAACTTACAAAGAAAAATAATATGCAAACATAATCTTGTAATTCGTCAAAATTTGTTTAGGTGTGGTTTTGGCGGCATAATTTTTCTTTTTCAGTTGTCAGATTTGATGACGTTTCCATGTGGGAGATTTTTTCACTCGTTTCCTTTAGCATTTCTTTCGTTTCGCACATGTGTTTTGTATTTGTTTCAAATCTAAAATAAAATAATGTTCATTAGCATTAGTTCATAAAAAATTGCAGTAACATATACCTTTGCAATATTTTATAGCGCCTCATTTTCAAAAACAATCACCGTAAGTTCTTCATAATCAGTGGGAGTATCTTCAGTGATTAATGGTGGTCTTTCCAGCTTATTAGAAAAAACTGCTTTTGTTATCTACGTACAGTTATCAAAAATAACAGAAACACGTAAAAATTAAAATGATTACTTTATTAGATATTAACTTACCTACTATAAATAAGTACAACTCACACTGAATGACATAAATTTGCACAAAACTGCGTTAAAAATGAAGTGAGTAACGGATACACGAGAAAGTTTCGGTGGTTGAGAACCAACTGGAAATATTGGAATGCTTCTCTGTGAAGTGCAATAAACATAAATACCGAAAAAAGGGAAAGTCCGAATGCACACCCCAAACATCTGATATATTGTATAGTAAATACGGATAAGAACAGGGGCGGCTTGTCCGATGAGGCAGGTGAGGCAGTGCCTCACCAATGAATTTTGCGCCTTATTCGTATTTTTATTATTTTTTTCCGATACATTTCTGCCCATAATTTGTGTTTCTTTTTTAAAATTTTAAAAATAAATATGTTACATTATATTGTTAGACTGTTACTCTTATCTAGGTGGGTACTCGCTGCTCCCTTAATTAAACAGCGCGCTTCAACACTCGACACAACATGTATTTTCTGATGCGAATGCGAATGAGGCCAACTTGAAGCTTGCCTCTACAGTAGATGCAAAAATGACCTCCGTTAAAATGTAAGCAACCTGCAGTACATTCATAAGCGCAATGAGTTGAAAAAAGATAAAATTGAGGCTAGCCCATGATACAAGTAAATATGGTATGGACATCCCATGAACCAAAACTCGTCTTCTTCTGCGCAACGTTATCTGACGTCATGTGGAATGAATGACCTTCCACTTCTGTGTTGACATCTGATGTCAAATATCAATTTTAAGGGTTATGAGGCAGTTATGAGTTTTTGTGGTTATGAGGGTTATTGTTTATTGTTACCAAACTGATGCGTAAAAACAAATTGGTGGTTTGCTAGCGACCTAGCGTTGTTAAAAAAATAGCGGGGATGATAGCAAATAATAAGAAAATATCTGTGTCCTTGTTATGCTCCGTCTTTTCTACAGCAGGTATTTTTTGCTTCCAGTATGGCGATCCTGTTACTGTCATTTAGTGATGCGACTTTGGTCCGAAAAACATCGAATCGATAAATCGATAAAGTTTGATTAGACCATTAATCGATTCAATTAATCACAAATCAAAATAATCGATTCGATTAAATCGTTTTGTGGAAAATGTTAAAAAAAGTTCCAACATTGTCATAAACTTTAATTGGAGTAAAAAAATAAAAAATTTGTGAACATTTTAAATGAAAATAAACTTAATACAATAAAATACAAAATCAATAATATTCAGTCGTAAACATAAAAATTAAATTTATCTCTTAAAACAAAAATATAATTGTAAATTATTCAAACCAGTACTTATCTTCAATACTGCTCAGGAATATTAAGTTTGACAAATGTGGTCCTGTTAGTCTAGACCGTTTGTCTGCTAAGATTTCTCCCGCTCTACTAAACAGTCTCTCACATGGTACGGATGTACCAACAACTGACAAATACTTGGTTGCAATTTTATACAATTCAGGAAACGCTATCTTTAACTGCTTAAAATACTGAATTGGATCATCATTTCGAGCAATAATCGATTGGTCTAAGTACTGCTTCAATTCTGTTGGCAAACCATTTCCACTATTTACATCTGAAATTCGAGATTCTTTACTAACAACCAAATTTTCATGAATATTCCATATATCATTACTATTATCAGAAACTGGTTTAAAAAATCCTTCAGAGTCTACCTCCCTTGTTTTTGTTGGAAACATTTTTGATATAATATTTAATGTATTTGATAACGATCGTGCGCTTTCAAAATGTATTTTCTTAAACCGAGGGTCAATAACAGTTGCTACTGCTAATATTTCATTTCTCTCAATAAAAGATTCCTCAGAATAGAAACGTTTCTGTACTTCATTACCCAAATTTGTGATGAGCTCTTTCCCAAACTCAGTAGAACCATCCAAACGATTTAAGGACAATTTTAAACAATGTGCCAGAGGAATTATTTTGCTTGCTGTTACATATTTTTCACCTGAAATTTCTGTAGTAAGTAATTGAAATGGCTTTAAAATTAAAACAACTTCTTCTAAAATTTCAATTTCATCATGATTAACCATAGTTGGATTTTTGTAATTAAATAGCACTGAACTTATGTAAGTTGCCAACAATAAAAATCTCTGCAACATTAGGTACGTTGAATTCCAACGAGTTTCACACTGCTGGATTAGCTTCAACGTTTTATTATTTGGCGCCCCATTTTGGATTTGTTGAGACTTCAATTCCTCAGTTGCCTTGGTGCTATGTTTAAAAAAGGCAACAATCTCTTTAACCTTATTGATAATATCACTTAGATGAGTTGTAAGTTTTAAGGCGTTTGTAACTACTAAGTTCAGTGTATGAGCGAAGCAGGGAAGATGTTTTTTTTTTCCAAAACAAAGGTATGCCCCCTTCACAACATTGCTTCCATTGTCCGTTACAATAGCCGTTACTTTTTCCTTGTCAATATTCCACTGCACACATAAATCATTTAATTTTTCACATATATATTCACCGGTGTGACTTTTTTCTAACATAATCACACCAATATTCACAGACTTTAATTCACCCATGTTAAAAAAGTGTACGGTGATTCCCATAAAACTTCGAGTGTTGAAAGAATCAGTCCATATATCCGTTGTTATTGTGAAATTTAAAACATTCTTAAAATCTTCTTTAATTTGAGAGCTAATAACTTCATACCGTTCATCCATCATATTCGTGAAAGTTTTTCGGCATGGTAGTTTGTACAGTGGAAGTGTAGTTTGTAAAAACTTCTTAAACCCTTTATTTTCTACAGTTTTCAGTGGCATGTTATCTACAGCCAGCATATACAAAATGGCATTTGTAATCTTACTGGCATTTCTACCACCTTCTAAAATTTAAATAAATTTTGTAATATAAATTGCTCAATTATTGAACAAACCTGTATATGAAGATACTTCTTCAAACACTTCAGTAACTTTTTTCTGTTTTCCTTTGATATGTGAAAATGATGAGCTATCCAAGATGCTTAAAGTTGTTGCTTCTGATAAATTCGATATATTATCACAACTTCTTTCAATTGTCCTGCTACCACTGCACCCAGGTTCGGATTGAATAATAGGGGATGTGGGCTTCTCGAAACATTGTCTTTTTTTACATGGCTCCTCTTGCTCTGATTTTGATTCTACATTCATTATCGATTTCTGATTCAAAGGGATCATAGGATGCTTCCTTTTCATGTGGCTGAGCAAATTAGTAGTATTACTATGATTTTTAACTATTTTGAGACAAAATCTACATCTTGAGGATATTGCATCGATTTTTGTAAAATATCGTTTAATAGATTTGGACGTTGGCATCGACATCCTAATATCTAAAATATTGAAAAAATATAAAATCGTGGTTTACCTAAACTCTACGAACAAAAAATCTGGCAAGATTAATACACGGATTAATAATTTTACTTACAAAAAGGGGGATTTTACCACTTCCGCCAAATCTTCAATCTAGGCATTTCAGTATTTCACATGCACATACGATGATTTTACAAATGTGGGATGTAGGCACGATGTAGGTAACCATAGCAACAGCAAAACCAAAGAACCACACACAGAACAACATTCAATGCACAGCACGGTAACCAGTACCACGCAAATGTGGCTAAAGTCACTAGATTTTTCTAAACGGGTATTGATTTTTTTAGCCGATTCTCGTAAAAAATAATCGATTTAAATATTAATCGAAGTTTAAAATATCTACAGAAAATCGATTCTTTAGTATGAGATACAATCGATTATTCAAGAATCGAATCGATTTTTCACATCACTACTGTCATTTGGCCGTCAATTGCCTTGGTGGTAACACGTCTTCCACGACTGTTTGCTGGTTACCGGTGACACTTTCTCGTTGAATAGGGCTGGAGTTACTTTGGGACTGGAATAGTGTTCTTTCCGGTCCGTTAACTCAATAATTCTAGTACAGTCTGTCGTAACCTCAAATCGTAAACACATCAACCTTTCGTTGACAGATAGCGAAAATTACTAGCCTCGCGCTATCTTTGTTTAACACATAGGTTAAGTTCCTCTCTGTCGAATTCCGACCACAGGCAGTTTGCCGTACTTTCTAAAAGTAATAGTAGATCTAGTCAAGGATTTTAAATAAGTAGACAGGATTGCTCGATCCGTCGAATTATTCTGCCTCAGCGGCGTGACTGGATGACGTCACATGCCGACCTAATGCCGACCGGCTCGCTAGCGGAGCATTAATTTTATTCGTCTACCATTTAATGTAGAGGTGAGAATAAGACTAAAAAATGTGATTTTTTTTAACTATTGAACGGGTAACAATATCTACTTCAATATTACCATACGAGGATACAAAAAATGATTTAATTACTAGCTTCTAAATATGGTAATCTTTTAAGACAATTCAGAGAATTATTATTGACGAACAATATCGAACTGAAGCAGCATGTAAACAGTAGATATAACAGTATTACGTAGTGGGGTAAAAAAAAGTACAAAATAAGTGCCTATGAAAAGTATAACTTTAAACAATTCAGTTTCATAATCTGATTCTCCACTAGTCGTGAATAACCGAGTGAATAACGCTATAAAAAGTCCATTTTTTTTATCCAAGGTATGTAGTTTATAGATTTGTAAAATGCGTTTATTTGGGCTAAAACTAATAGTGTAATAGTAAAGTAAAGCAACATTACCTAGGTCAAATGGAACAGAGTTGTAAATCTCACTCTAAAATACGTATATTTATATTAGTTTTGTTTTGTATGAGTAACTGTGATTAATCTTTGAAACCTGAATACCTAGGCAAATAAAGTACTCATATTATTTTGTAAGTTTATTTAGTTTCCTGCGTTTTTTTCGTTCTGTATCCGTATTTTGAGCAGATTGACTTGATTGACTTGCTCTTTTGCGACTCCTTTTCTCAATAAGTTTAATGTTCATATAGTTCATTCGTATTATCGTTCTTAATTTGCAAAATGCCCTAATGATATCCCTGGTAATCGTCGTTTCCCTTCGGTTTATTTTTGTGGTTAATTTTTCAATTATTCCTGAACACTTTTTTAATGCATCACCATGGTGCTGCTCAAAATAAATGTTCCACTTTTTAATCTTAGTATGCCATTCTCTTGTAGGCTGTATAAGACCACCATATGATAACTGTTGGACCCAAGACGGTAACTGATAACTCTCTTGCTTTTTCTTATAAGTGAAATCACCGAGTGTAGGATTCGTGTTTCTAAATTTTTTTGCAAGATAGCCCGCGATATATTCCAAAGCATCGTTAGTTACTTCAGGACAACTTCTACTAACGTCAGTTGTATTCAGTTCCGATGAAGACGATGCATTTGAAGAAAATGAACTGCTGCTATTCTGGGTCGATTCGTTTTGTAATTCTTCGACTAATGCATCGGATATATCGATATTGGCATTTTTTAGAACACTAGCCGATATATATTCCTCTGGAACTACATCGTGTGTGTTTACTTGACTGTCCAAAATGCCTGGATTTTTGCCCAAAATTATTAACCGCATCCTTTGAATGGCAGCGTTGGGTGTTGGATGTTCGTCTGGTCCTCGACTTCTTATTTGAAAAAAAAAGTTTTCTAGACAATCTTGGTTTAGTTTGTGTGTGCAAATATATTTTAAACTGCCATAGGTAGATTTCAGTTCCAAAAAAAGTTGCTTAAGTGACTTTATAGACATCAAAATTCCTTTTTGAAAAGTTTGCAGGGTGTTCTTTCCAAGTGCACGCATATTTTTTGTTGTGTTGTACATTTTATCAAGACTTTCATCTTGTTCTTGTAAATGGGTTCCATATGCCGATTTTGTGGGAATATTAGCCGTTGACGTATAACTGTTAAATATGTCAAACCATAGGTTGACAATTTTTATAAATTCCGCTGTATTTTCGGCCAATTCTGGATCTTCTCCTGGCCTGTATCTTTTTAAAGCTTCTGCCACGGTATTAGATAATAACTGTGCTGCTAGACGAACTTTTTGTCTCTCGGTTTTTTCAGCTCTTACATGTTTCGCAGTAAGTTTATAACAAACATTAACTTCTTTGTCTGTATACTCCACTAAGCTCTCTAACGGTTTCTTATTGATGATAATATTTTCATCTAACTTGAAACCTGTGTCTAATAACCAGTTGCGGATCAATTTTAACAAATGCGGTGCATCTGCAAACATATAAATATTTTTATTTGTTTGAGGATGCTTAAATGACGTATTATTAATATCGACGCCCAACTGCTTCCAAAGCCCCACATTACTGCTGCCACAGTCGCTAACACATCCTACAACGTTGTAGTGTATTTTATAAAGTTCTGTAACTATATTTAAAAGTATCTCTTTAGTAATTCTTTGATCAAAACCAATAAACACAGGCTGCTTCCATTTGGAAAATAATCCGCGGGCCATAACGACTTGTAATTGGCTATGTGGACCAATTATTTTATCTGAAGCGACGTTGTATTCATATAAAGATTTAACTTTGACTTCATCAAATGCCAGCACAACCGTTTTCTCAAAATCAGACATCTTTTCACCAGCTAAAGATAAAAACCGTAAAATTTCTTTTAATATTCCTTCATCCAAACTTATTTTTAAAGCCCATCTTCTTAATGTTGATAAACCAGGTAGGGGATAGTTTAATGTATTTTTTACGTATACGTATGCTTTCTTGCTATAATACCTTAGGGTAAAAGCAGCTGAAATTTCATTGGATGTCCAATTAACTCGTTTTTTCTTGTTTGACAATAGAGCAACTTGATTCTGCGTTAATATTTTCTTCAAAACATCTTCTGCTTCGGATTTTTTGGCCTTTATATGATGGTTACCGCAACTGCTTAAGGAGATTTTTAAACTTTTTTTCTTATAGTACTGCACTTGCGAGTTCAATAGTTTTATTTTTTGTTTATATTTTTCTTCCATGCGTTCATATTTAACTTTTAGGTTGTTATATTGATGCAATAACTTATCGTCTTCTTTGTTGTGTGATGTGGAAGGCTGAGAAAAAAATTCCGTGGGAAAAGTTCGGTCCGGGATTGCAGTTTCTTCAATGTCAGTTTTTGATTCTTGTATTTTGTGTTCCGCTAAAATATTTTCAACCTCTTCCTTTTTTTCTCTCTTTTTATATCTGTTTGCACGGTCAGAGGAAAAACTAGGGTCTCCATGTTCTTGTGTACCTTTATGCAGACTTGGTAAATTTAAAACTGGAACAGCAGTTTGTTTCAAGATTTTCTTCTGTGGCAAACCTTAAAAAGAGCATTATGTTTACGATTATTTTCTGCAGATAAGCTTGGTTTAAAACCTAGTAATTCATTTTGCAGATCTCGTTCATAGTCTTGCTGCGTAAAATGAGTAGAACAAATTACGCTAGTGTTAGGATTCATCTTGTCGGCCCTTTTACATCGTCGAATCCACTCATTTCTAATTGTAGAAGAAGTCAAATTGTTTCCCTGAGGAAATCTGTGATATATAACTTTTAGGCCTTTTTTTTTCGTCTCAACCAAACTATTATTGCAACCGAATACGGCGCATCGCATTCCCGGCATTTTGAAATTATCCTTAAGTTGAGTAGGGACCCTATTAAAACAAACTATGTATTTTTTAATCATATCATAAAATATAAACTGAATATTGTAGATTCATTTTCAAACAGATTTCAAATCAATAATATTGTGTCTGTTGTTTCAAACAAATAAAAAATGAATAAAAATCACGATTTACCTAATAAAGAATTTTTTCTAACCAGCAAAATGTACAACCAAATGATTGCACAAAGAAAATACGAATTAAAACAACTGTAGTTAAGTATTAATTAAAGTAATGCAGTGAAATATCATAGCACTACTCGTTTAAACGCGTTTAAACACTGTTGTCGAGCGACAAACTTCCGACTCAGAGGTCTGCGTGCTACGTCACTACGGACGATTAGGTAGGAGTGGGGCGACATATACACAAGGTATAGCGATCGAGCAATCCTGTCTACTTATTTAAAATCCTTGAGATCTAGTGACTTTAGTTAGGCTCGGTAAATATTTCAATTTCCCGCCTGAATACAGCCAGGTGACGTCAGCAAACCTGCGTATGTCCATACCATATTTACTTGTATCATGGGCTAGCCTCATTTCCGTGCTTGCAATAATGATAGACGATAATATATGCGCGCGCAGCATGTGCGATTGTATGCACGGTGCAGTTGCAGGCGAATTCAAAATTAGGCAGTTGATTGTTTTGTGATAAATTTGTGTGTGAATAAATTGATTCAAAATTTCGGGAACAGAATTTTGTGTTAAGCGTGCCTACGGTTGCGTGTGTCGAGTCAGTGCTTTGTGATTCTCATAGTTTGATTTCGGTATTCGAGATTTAAAATTACTAGTAAATTTTATTAAATCGTAATTATTTTTACGACAATGGCAGTTCCAGAATCCAGCAAGGTGCATGAACTCGGGTGCGAGGTAACTCTTAGGAATACGAATGATGTGGTAGACTTTTTGATAAATAATTGTGTTTTTTCTACTCTCACCTACGATGATAAACTCTATGTTGTTAAGGAATTAAAACGGCCGGTTCCAGATTTGAGTAAATCGTTAATTAACGTACGCGTACGAGGAAAATCAAATCGAGCATTTAATAATACTTGGTATAAAAAGTACGACTGGCTTACCGGAAGTATACAGTTGAATAAATTATTTTGTTGGCCATGTATCTTATTTGCAAATAACAGCGAAAAAGTGTGGTGGAAAAATGGATTTTCCGATCTTAAAAACTTGTCACGTGGTTTAGCACTGCACAACAAAAGTACAGAACATATTTCTTCAAACTGTAAATTGGCTCTTATGAGGAACAAAAAACAAAATATTGCTACGGTTTTAGATAGCGCACGCAAAATTGAAATTGAAACTTATAATCTTAAAGTTCGGGAAAACCGCCAAATTTTAAAAAGTTTAATTGAAATTACAATGCATTTATGTATGCAAGAGTTACCGTTTCGAGGGCATGATGAATCAGAAAATTCTTCAAATCGTGGGAATTTTAAGGAACTCGTTACGTTAGTTAGTAAATTTAACCCCGATTTAAAAACTTTTTTGCAAAGGGACAATGATATTAGGTCTGTTTTTTCTGGGACGTCAAAAACAATTCAAAATGAATTAATAGATTCTATTGCATTTGTTTTAAATAAGAAAATAGAAAATGAAATATCAAAATCTTTATTTTTTTCTTGGCAGGTCGACGAAACCACAGATATCAATTGTCATTCACAATTATCTATTATTTTTCGTTATATACATGAGGGCCAACCTGTTGAGCGATTTATGGGATTTTTTGATGTAAGTTCCGGACGATCTGCGGAAGAACTATCTCAGCTTTTAGTAACTAAATTTGACAAATTTGATTTGAACACTAAATTAGTAGCTCAAACATATGATGGAGCAGCTGTAATGTCTGGCGAATTGAATGGACTGCAATCAAAAATTAAATCTGTTGCACCACAAGCATTGTTCACTCATTGTTACGCACATGCTTTTAATTTGGTTTTAAGTGGAGCCTGTAGTTCAATACAGTCAATTAGAGTTTTCTTTGCAACTTTGTCAGGATTTTCCTCATATTTTTCAAAATCTACGAAGCGCACCCATGTCTTGGATGAAATTTGTGGCCGGCGCCTGCCCACTAATGTAGTAACTCGCTGGAATTTCACTTCTCGTGCCGTTTTAACTGTTCACAATAATAAGGACAAATTGTTGGAGGTTTTTGATTTTATTATAAATAGTCGTGAATTTGACGATGCTTCTATAAGAGGAGCGGTGGGTTTAAAAGGATTTCTGGAAAATTACCAAAATTTATTTTTTTTAGAAACTTTTGTATTAATTTTTCAACAGACTGATACCGTCTTTTCTATTTTACAAAGTAAATTTACAGATATTCTCAGAGCCAGGAATTTGTTGTTAACAACATTAGATAAATTACGAGAATTTAGAAGCAGTGACAATTTTTTTAACAAAATTTATGAGAAACTTGACATTGCTAATTTACCGCCCAAACGTCGCAAAGGGAATGAAATAAACGATAAACAGCAGCAACTAAGGCAAATCTTTTTCGAAATTCTTGATATTATAATTAATCAAATACAAATTAGATTTTTTGACATAGAAAAATTACATTTTTTTGATTTGCTTAATGTTTCTAAATTTTCATTTTTTGCTAAACAATTTCCCGATGAACTCCTAAAAACGCTTACACAACAATATCATTTTTTCGACATGAGTCAGTTAAAAAACGAATTGATTGTTTTATACAATAATAATATTGTAGACAATTGTACTACTCCTACTGAAATGTTAGCTTTTTTCCACGAGAATAACCTTCAGTCCTGCATGCCACAACTTTTCAAATTATTTTGTGTCGCTGTTGTCTTGCCAGTAACATCTGCTTCCACAGAAAGGAGTTTTTCGACATTAAAAAGGATAAAAACTTATATAAGAAACACCACTGGGCAGGCGCGATTAAGTAACATGGCCAAAATTGCAATTGAAAGGGAATTTATAAAGTCTCAAGATAATAACTTCACAGAAGAAATAATAGATCATTTCGCGGAACAAAAAAATCGCAGAATTCCCTTGATCTTTAAAAAGTTTTAAAATAGATTCACAGTATTTATCAATTTTTTTTTCGTTTTGTTTTTTGTTATAAATTATCATATTAGATTTATTTTATGTTGTATTTGTTTTTTTTTTTATATGTTTTATTTAGAGTTTATTTTAATTTTGTTTTTTGTTAGAATTTATATTTAGTTTCTCCTGACTATGTTTTCCTTTCCTTTTGTCCTGTCATTCCCATCCTTTCCTGGCAAGAGTTCTCTACACCTCCACGTTGGTTCTTGCTGGACAGTTAAATGAGTTTACAAATTTGTTTAACGGACTATGTAGAGTCTATTTAAGTATCCTTGCATTATTTATATTTTGGCGCGTTTTGTGCTTTGCCTCATCAGCTTTTCAAGTCATGAGCCGCCCCTGGATAAGAATAAATTTAATAAAACTGAATATTAATCACTCTCGAATTTTTTTAGTAACCGTCATCACTTTATAAACGTCTTTATAAAATCAAAATTCGACGAAGGAATTCTTCAAAACCTTGTCCCGTTTTAGGGACAATGGACAAAGAATTTTTATGACTGTGTTTGTGTCGTTGGGTCTTTCCGCTCAACCCCAGATGTTCTATTTATAATTTGCCAACCAGGTACTTGCAAAATAACACTTCCAGAGTAAACAAGTTTTCAGAAATAATTATTTTATTAGAAATTATTAGAATGAAAAAACTTGTCTTCGATTTATTTCTAATTAAGCCGTTGTATTTTTTGCTCGAAATATAATCAAGCATTATGAAGGCCACTTTTTAAAGAATACGACGACCCACATCTAATTGATCATATAATCTATAAAAAATGACGAAGAAAGGACGGCCTTTTGACGTCATTAATTGACGTCAGAAGTAAGTCATAAAAATCTCGTCATTTTCACGTGATTTTTTGGGCGAATGACGTCGCCGATGAGTTATGACCAAAAATTGACGTGAATTAGACGACAGTCTGCTGCTTGGGGTAAGTGAACAACGTGGTTACTCAAACTTTTTATTAGTTTATGTAATAACTTCGTATTTAATGGATACATATACCTACACTACGAGCCCCGTTCCAAGCTCGTTACAAGCTTAGCTACAAAAAATTCATTTAAGACGCAAAACGATTTACAACTATTGAAAAAAAGCAATAGGAGAGTTTTTAACTGTTGCTTTATTATTAGGGTTACTTACACCACTGATTTTTACTTTACAGAGGTTATCACAAACCGAAAATCGCAAAATCAAATTTTATAATTTCCAAAGAAGCGGAATTTGACGTACTATACAGGTAAACTTAGGTATACTTCAAAGACGAGGAAAGTTCTGTCGAAATAACCGTCGACCAGTTTTTTTACCAAATGAAGACGGCTCACCCTATTTTCCCGAAAATGCCTGTATACCATGGAGGTAGGATGACAGGAGGGAGCATCCTCATTTGACCAATGTTAAAGAAACGCCGGAAACAGCTCCACGCAAGAGCCATTTATGATCTTTTCAGTATCACATCCAGAGCGGTCGATTATTAGTAAAGCATCAGAGGCGGTACTTTTGGATCACATAAAAATTGAGATATTTCTAGCAACATAAAAACTCAAGTAAATTTTACTGCTAAATTATTTTTGTTTGATACCCAGTATCCGGCAAACGCTTTCCAGCACGCCACTGAAACAATCGGTTTCTCCGAGAAGCTGGGAGACCCATTTATGGCCCTATTCGAAAGCGCGGTACCAGTACTGTTATTAATAATATTACACTGCACCTATTCAAACTAATATATGTGTTCTTTATAACTGCATTACAAAATTTTGTTGCGGAAAAACTCACTTGAAACATACTCATGCTCCTTTACCTGTACCCTAACAATTAACACACATATTTATTTTAACTTATTTTTAAGTATAGGTTTTTATCATTTGACAAAAAAATTTGCAAAATTATATTTTATGATTTTTCAAAGAAGCCGTATGTATTTATTCGACTGTACTTTAAAGGGCTAATAATTACGGAAATGGACGAGAAAATGGAAGCAAGAATGAGAAAAGTGGACGCAAGAAACAAAGAAATGGACGGAAAAATGGACACAAGAAGGGAAACAATGAACGAAAAAGTAAAAGAAGTCGAGAAATCACTGCAGGAATGTATAGAAGATCAAACAGCGAACAAAATGGACGATCGAATTAAAACTATAGAATATCGAATGAAAATGAATATAGAATAGAAAACATAATGAGGAAATCTGAAACGATCATAAAAAAATGCAGCAGCCACTGGTTCATGTAATGTGACGTCGGTTTCTAGAATAATTCAACCACCCACCTATGATGGCCATACACCGTGGTCATCGCAGAAGAAGGAGTTTGAGGCAGCAGCGACAGCAAATTCTTGGGAAGAAATACAGAAGGCTATAGCCTTGGTGATAGCTCTGCGAGCTGCAGCGCTAAAGATATTTCAAACCCTGTCTGATGAAAATATGTATAAGCAAATATAGTGCCTTAATTACTGTTCTAGAACGGCGATTTGGGGATGAACATCTAAAGCAAGTTTTTGCAGCCCAATTAAAGACGAGAACACAAAAAGTTGGAGAATCTATAAGAATTTGCAATAGATGTTAAAAGAATGGTACGTCTAGCATACTCTTACACACCACCGACTATTCAAGAAAGGTTTACGATAAAAACTTTTATAAACGGTATTCGCGACCTTGAAGTTAAGAAGATATTACGAGTATTTAGGTGCCAGACATCCGCTGGTGCTCGTATACGCGCTTTGGAAGTGGAGGCTGATTTCAGTACAACAAGAACTTGCGACAAAGTCAGCGTAGCAGATCCAAAGAATGAAGAAGATAACAAGATAGAAAAGTTATCGGAAAAACTATCGGAAAAACTGTTACAGCAAATAGATGGCCTATTTCTAAGACGGGAGAATGATATGTCGCACAAGCAAAGCATGGAATGCTATAGGTGCAGTTCCAAGAAGAACCACACAACAGAAATCTCACCAATATGTAAAAAGAGCCAGTACTCTGGGGAATGTATTCGTTGGTGAGAATAAGGCCACAAGTGAAGTGAAAATAAGAAGTTTCACCAGAGGTAGTGGTACAACTATACCGGGGAAGATTAATGGAACTCCAGCAGCAATTATTATCGATACTGGTGCTGAGGTATCATTTGTACGTAAAGGACTCGTGAGAACTGAAGATGTAGAAACTATACCCGAAACGATAGCGAGTCCCCTCTCAGTGACGAAAGAAGGGAACAAGTACACGAAGAAGGTCAAAGGCTACAACGTGCTTTGCGCAGTGGCAGTATCGTAACCGATGAGGTCTATCCGAGGTGCGATTATTGCTAGATAACCATGGAACAAGAAGACATGACGTGATATTGCGTATTTTGTGTGACGTCATGTGGATGTCATAACCGCCAACTTTGAATTCTGGCTTGTTGCATGTTCGTATTATCAGTAACAAAGACCGATTTTTGAAATTTGCGTGAATAGATTAATTTATTACTTTCCGAGTGTAGCGAAGGAATAAGTATTGTAACCGAGTCCATCGGCCAAATTGCCACTTTCATATTTTTTCAACGTGTCATGACCTCTACAGTACGAAAAAAGTGGTCTCCTGTTTCCGGCTGTCTGTCTGGTGTCTGTATCCATTTTTATTAGACAAGTAATCTCCGAAACTACCGGACCGATTTTAGTCACATTTTGGTATATCATCTAAAGGATTAAACCCTAACTAAAATTTGGCTAATCATCTCCACCACCAATGGGATGACGTCATCTTGTTTTTTTTAATTTCATAAAATAAGATACTTCTACACTTGTGTGTGAATCCGTACGAACTTTCACCCTAGACATCCACAATTTTGGGAAAAAATTCAAAACTGAATAACAATATTTTGCAATATAATTTTGAAACTGTTAAATCGAAATCTTGTAAATATTTTAAGATTATCGTAATCATGAAAAATCGTTAAGCAAAATTTATTCGTTTAGCTCCTAAATCCTATCCAAAATGTATGAAATATGATGAGTCTATACTTGTGATTTATTAATGCATTAACGGCCGGTTTATAGAAAAGTGAATTAAATATTTAATCCTCGATTAATTTAACACAGGAATTAAATGTGAAATATGAGCCCGTGATTGGTTAAAACATGCGCGTTGCCTCGGGTCTAAAAGTTTTTAAATTTCTTATACAGGCTGACTCATAAAAATTAATAAATCGGGAACGGCTCACTCCGTTTTCCCGAAAGTTTGAGAATACCTACAATACTGTTATCATTAGCACTACCCTACACCTATCCAAAGTGATATAGGTGTCTTTCCAAAAATGTTGATGACGTCATCACAAAATTTTGTTAAGGGAAAACTTATTTTAAACGTACACCCAGCACGTTTCTTAACATTTACTTTAACGTTACATATATATCTTTACTTATAAGGGTTCTTATTAAAAAAATAAAGTTCGCAAAATTACATTTTATAATTTTTCGAAAATGCTGGATATGTTTCATTGTACTTCAGGAGCGACGGAACTTCTGTCGAAACAACTTTCCACCAATTTCCTCAACTGAAAAAGTTTGTTAAACCTTCATAAATAAATTTTGTAATGGTATTATTACCTGTCTTTTCCAAAACTTTTGTGCTAATCAAATATGAAGTGCCACATGTTTCACTTGTCACAGTTCCAATCAACAAATTTGCGACATAACGTCCACCACATTAATCGGTTGTTTCATCGACATGAAAATAAATTAGATTATCACTTATAATTTGACGAATAACCTGCTTCGTTTTTTGAAACACTTTGTCCACGTACCTACCTTTTTCTTAAGGTACTCTCATCGGGAACTGACTTCATGGTACGCTTTTTAAGAAATGATCGTAGCTTGGGGTTTACTCATTATTGATAAAGGAATATCGGCACTGAGGAATGCCTCACAAATGTTTGTGAAGTCTTGTCCCAATATGCTGAATTATCGAAAACTTTTTCTCACAGGCGACCTGAACAATGAAATTAATTCATAGTGTGCATTCTTTACTTCTCGCGTTTAATTGAAAGCAATAAGATATCAATAAATTAAAGCAATTGTTTGAAATTGGAACTAATAAAAATAAATGTGACAAATTCAAAAATATAGCAATGATAAAAATTTGGATACCTTACTTACCTTTTTAGAGCACACTCTGCAAAAAAACACATTGAGAATTTTCATCTAACATTACTTCGGGATACCTTTTTTATCCAGCCGTGGACACTTGCAGAAACGTTTGGCATTTTGGACTTGAAGTTCACTTGTCCGTACAAAATAAGGACTGACAAAATGAGTAACTGCTAGCAGGATGCTACCTCAGTTCGGATTAGGATGTCTTAATTACTGTTTTTCCAGGTAAAGATTCTATCGAAATGTCTTGGTATTTGTTGAATAACTAAAGGCACGATTTGAACATTTTAGAAAAATATGCATAAATATGCACTTAATCGGTAAATATGCATTTTTTTAAAGCCCATTGTTTAAAAAGAGGAAGCCAGAAAACATATTTTTTCTGAATATGCTACACTTTAAGGAATATGCATTATGCATCAATCCGAGTATTATAGCGAAGTAAGCTGTGAAAAGTAATGTTGGTTGTATCAACATTTTTTTCTGGCTCATTATTCCTAGTAAATCACCCTGTATAATAAAATTTAGTACGGTAATGAAAATTAGAGCCGGACATTACAATAATATGTAGATTAAAAATCTTCCAGTCCCATTTATATAACATTTGTAACTTGATGTGTCGTGTGAACTCATGTCCTGCTCTGAGCGCTTGCTTTTTAGATCAGAACCAAACATCTTGACCAAATTTCGTCTGTTCAAAAATTAAAAGGAAAGGTTGTTCTTTGTTTCAGACAATTCTAGTTCGGGTGAACATAATATACGACGCTGCCTCTTTGGAATTTGCGACCTCAGAAAATATCTGCCTATCCTTGCCACAATCAAATGTGGCCCTGTATTCCATTACTGCATTATTGTTATCACTTAATGCATCGCGGAAGTCCGTTGTACAACTTACTTCCGAGTTTGCAACTAAGCTGAAGGTGAACGTTGTAGTTTGTTATAGTTAGAATACGTGTGAAAAATGAATTTTGTCGCTCCACACACACAAAACCTGTTAATAAACGACAAGGTTCAATAATGAAAGCTTAGCTTACTGCAGGAAAAGGTTTCGCGATTTTAAATTTTGACCCTTGCTTGATCGGATACAACTCATCTTTTGTTCTCCCACCTTGGTGACAGAGCCGGACAACATGGCACCATCGCAGTCACATGCCGTTCTCTGTCTCCCTCTAATATTGTTATCAAAGTCAAAGGCTATCACTCATGTGCTTACAACAACGGTCACCAAGGTTTCGTTGTTTATTGCCGAATAATGATACAAACACCATCCCCATCCATTAATAAATTACTGCGCCTGTGTGCCGTCGTGTCGTACGAAGTTCGACCCAACGTCACACGAAACGTGAAAAGCCTTGCGCGTAGATCTCAGTGACCCGACCACGAAATCATATGACTTGCATGCACGTGATTTTATATTTACTGTGTGAGTGTATTTTTCTGGCATGAGGCAAGGTGAAATTGTGCTGCTCGTAAATGACTCTGAACAGTGAGGGCTCGGTGATATGGCCCTATTCAACAAATTATTCTCCAACCGAAGGGGCATACACAATAAGCACCAAGATAATGTCAGGTGAGTCTGGCGGACTGATACAGAGGCGATTTAATTCACGAAAATTGGGAAAAGACCCAACTGGATTACATTCCCGATTTTTGGGACTGCGCTATCGATCATTCATTAACTGAGTAGGCGTATCACCGACGTTTTTCTATTATTTTTTGCTCTGCGGCGTTGCCAGCGATCATTTTTCTTGGATTTCGGAGTTTTCTAGGTTAATTGGGTGCATGCTTTTTTCTGATTGTTAGATAACAGTACATGATTTACGTTTTGGTTTACTGTAGTAATTCGCAGGAAAATTCTCCGCATCCTAAAATACTTGTCAATAAATAATAGTGTTTTGGAAAACAATTTTGAACATATCTGTAAATTTAGGTTTATTCCCGCCTTCTCGCGTGACGTCTTGTTTATTTTTTCTTCCTAACGACCCAGATCACATGTTCGTTAGGCAATCGGTTTAGTCACATGCTTTTATGATAGGAAAGAATGGCTGCAATTATCACACTGAAGCTATTTTTGCACGAATATCAAGAATTGAAATTTATTTGTTGCAAATAATGAAAACAAATTATTGTTTACGTAATGAAAACAATGTTAATATTATAACGATAACGTACGTGACTTTGTTATTTTTATAGATAGGAAATGTAGAAAACATTTTATTCAATAATTATATTCAAAACTGTAGTCTTGATAAATACACAAATCCATACCGTTATTATTACCATTACGACAGAGGCGTACAGTTCCTTGAAAATTTGATGCCATGTTGTCCGAAACGTTGTCTTTTTATTTCTTGAGCATAAGCTAAGGAAGTATTGTAATCGAGTCCATCGGGCGACCGTTACTTTAATATTTTTTCGATAGGTCGTGACCCCAAGAGTACGAAAAAATAGGTCCGCGGTTTCCGTCTGTCTATCTGTCCGCAGTTGCAATTTAATCTTGAATCTTTAAAACCGAATGTTTTGAAATTCTGCAGACGTTTTAAAGCTGTCGTAAACACGGTAAATTTTCAATCAAAATAGATCTGTTTATTCCCCTTAAAAAATTAATAATAATAATAATAAGGTTTATTCTTATTTATTAATGACGTCATTACAAAATTGCGCCTAATACATCCTACCAAAAATGTGGAAAATAAGATGAATGTATATTTGTGATTTATTTCCTTCCTATTTTTAGAATTGCTTATACAGAGGGACGCAAAAAAAATAGTGAATGAGCCAATCCATTTTCTTCATTAAACCTGGAACTGCAAAGCCGTAAATTTTTAGTCAAAATATATCTCCCCCAAAAAAATTGATGACACCATCTCAAAATTTTCCGAAAGTGTGCAAAAAATTATGGGTCTATACTTGCAATTGATGATTGTCTTCATATTTTTAGAACTGCTTATACAGGTGACTCAAAAATATTTATGAATGTATCCATTTATTTGATGGATTAAATCAGGCGTTAAGGTTATCGCAAGCATGGTAAATTTTTAATCAAAATATATGTGTCTAACCACCCTACCCCCTTTTTTTCGTTAGATAAAATAAATTTAATAAAATAAATCACCCCCAAATTTTTTATCGACCAGATTAAGAACGAATTAACATAACATAAACACTTTAAGTTGTTATTATTGCTGAAAGGCCATTTTTACTTATCGAGTGTTAGTAAAGAAAGTATAGTAATCGAGTCCATCGAGCGACTTGATACTTTCATATTTTCTCGATGTTTCATGACTCATAAACACGGCCGTAGCCAAGAGGAGGCTAGAGAAATATGTGCCTCTCCTAGATTTTTTCAAGTTATAATTAACCAAATGTGAATTACAACATCGAAAATCAAAATAAAATGCAATGTTTTATTTATTAAGCGGAAATCGAAGCAATAAAAAAGTTTGGACCATCGCATTGTGAATCAGTTGTTGGAATGATTGATTAAGTCAAGATTCAAGAACGACTCACTCCATTTTTCAGAAAATTTGGGAATACACTATTACACTTCATCTCTCCACATTGATATGTGTTCTTGCAAAAACGCTTCTTTACCTTTACTTGAATATTACGTAGATATCTTTATTTTAACTTATAGTGGTTGTCATAAAAAAATAAATGAAGTTCGCAAAGTAATCTTGTAATTTTTCTAAACAGCTGGATTTGATATACTGTACTTTATGAGCGAGGAAAGTCCCGTCGAATCGTCGAAATAACCAGTTTTTTAAAGCTTATATGTCTTACGTATACTCCCACAATAACCCCCACAATTAAATTCTTTTTGTCAGTATATTTTATAATGTAGGTAATTTTAACCATAAATTAAATATATAAATTTTGACACGCACAGTGTAACAGTGATGAAAACAATATTGTATTCGTAAAATTGCAGAAAAAATTGCTGTTGTTGCTCATCAAAATGAAGAAATTGCCTCATTCATTACTTTTTATCCAACTTTTACAAGCAATTCCAATAAAAATATATTTAAAGTTTAATAATTAAAAAATTCAGTTTATTTTTATGTATTCAAGGTAAAACTCTACACGAGTTCATGATTAATTGTATGTCATTTAAATATGAAATCATTGTTTATATAAAATTGTCGCGAGATCTTTCTAGGAATAATAAATTTGTGTAGTTAGGAACTATAAACCGTTTCAGTTTTTGTATTTTTTTCTTTTTAGATTCTTTGTCCTGTTATTGTTACACTGTTTGTGCCAACTAGTTTGGCAAGTGTATGAAAGGACTAGAAAACTATTAGTATGCAATTAAATAGGAAATAAACAAGATTATATTAGAAGTTTAAAAACTTTATTACTGGGTATACGAGACTTTTGGGTATTATCACATATTAACGCCAGTTGTTGAAATATATTTTATTAGAATAATATAACAAAAAAAGCATAATTTTCCTGAAGACCGTTTGCAACTAACGCTACTCGCGTTTTACATATCAAATTTTATATTCGTCAAAGTCGTGTCAAGTGCGTAAATATTTTTAGCTTTTAAATATATAGAACAGAAAATCGTTCAATTAAATAATGAACATCACACGAATGACGTCAATTCGTGTTATATTTTTTTCCTTAAATACGATTTATTAAAGAAATAGAAATTAAAAGGCGTTAATACATTCCCTGATTTTATTGACAACAAACTGGTCACATTCAAACCAAAATAAAATTTTTATCATGATGTACAGCGAAATACACCTACCTAGCCAACAAATAATAGATTATCTTGTTTATTATTAAAAACGTACGGAGTGTTTATAGAAACATGTTTAAATTTAGAGTTACAATCAGTATGCTTGACACATGTTTTTTTCGGTTGTTATGTGGCTAGTTGCACGTACATGATGTAATGGTAGAATAATGCAAACAAAATTAACTTCTTTAATTTAATGGAGAGTGAAGATGCCCAGGATTTATTTTAATACTTTAACCGAAAAAAATAAATCATAACTAATTTGAATATAAATACTACCTTTATTTTTTCCACAAAATTGTAATAAACATGTAAGTTATCTTATATTCTTAATTACACTTACGTGATTTTATAAAAATCATTGTACAAAATTTTACATTTGTGAACAGTTTTGTCTAAACTAGTTATGTCTTTAATTAGATGATGTTTTCTTTTTTAGTGAGAAATTTTTTGCATTTAGTAAGGACCAAGTACGAGTGGTATTATTTAGAGAATGTGACTTTCGGGGTCGAAAACTTCTGTTTGATTCAAATTCCGTTAAAAAAGTTCCCATTAATGTCACAAAATCTGGAGAGCCCATCAGAACTGCGGAAACCGAAAAATTTTCAGAAGTGTGTAATGGATATGGCTACGTGGTAAGAATACCAATTGCATACATTATATTCATAAATTAATTCAACAAATCACTAGTATACAAAACCCGAAGCAGATTTTAGTCAACTTGCCGAAATGGTTTTTGGCTCGGTAGCAATGAGTTTCAGGGGAACATATTTCAAAATGCACACTTTAGAATCTCCGAATCGACTAATGTTTTCCCAGGTACAATAATTAAAAAGAAATTGTGTCATTATTAACTAGGCATTACTTTTATTTTTAGGTATTTTCTAGTCCTCGATTTACATCTCATAGTCGAGTTTCCGTTTCTAGTCGTAGCGATCCTCACAGTCTTGAACATTCCAAATTAGATGATTCGGGTGCCAGCAGCACGAATTCCATAAGTGAACATTTATCAGTACATAGTACGGCCTCAGATACAGTTTTAGGTAATGATTGGTTATCAAGTTTATGTAATGCTATATACTATCTTAATAAATAGTTTGCAGACGACCTCATAGTGCACCTTTAGATGTCCCGGTTATGAGCAGTGTTTCTCTGTCTATCCCAAGTTTAAACGGCGACTCTGGTTATGGTACTGGTTTTTCGTGTATTAACGGACCTTCGTCCACGTGGGGATCGATCTTAGACGAGAAAGGTATATTTTAAAGACCTAAGATGTCTAGAAAGTTACAACTTTTTTTTTGAATAGGTGCATCTACGTTGTCATTATCCTCGAGCAGCTTATACAAAAAGTGGTTAAGAAGAACTAGTACATCTCTTGAGAATTCTGGACACTCCCTTGCCACGTGTGGATCAATTCAAGAGGGCTGTCATAGACACCATCGCAGCAGCAAACTAGGACTTACGCTTATTCTTCAACTCACACCAGGACAAGAAGAGTTAGTTTAATAACTTAAAGTAAACAATATTACTTAGCAAAGTAGATAAATTTTGTTCTATGTTTACACTTTCATCAAATGCATTTGCTTACGTATTTTTTCTATTACTAGGGAAATCAGCCAGTTCCTTATGGAGCACGTATCTCTCTTAGACGCCATACTTTGGCGGGCACGACAAGTGGTGGAAATTGCCTTCATCAAGTCACAAAATTTTACCTCTTTGATGGCAGAGATGGCACACTTCTCAGCCCAATACCTAGTCAATCTGCTCTCTGGTTCATACCTCTCCATGAATCTGTGGCTGTCGCTGTCAAATGGCTGTGATAACTACAACAGTATTAGTGCATTTAATGCTTCAGATAGTGATAAAACTGCTTCGGTGTTTTCACCAGAATTGTGTGAATCGCAAAAGGCAGACTTGAATAGTTCTAATAGTTCTGCGAGTTTGTGTAGTAGTGGATTGTTTAAAGAAACTGAAAACAGTGGCGATTTTCATTTGTTTAGTTTTGCAAGATTTTTAAAGACAGACCCATTTAACATTAAGAAGAATTTGTTTGGTGAAAATAGAACTATTACGGCTGAGAAGTTTGTGCAAGACTTTTGCGAGTTACTAGAGGATGTGGATATCAAAAATACTAATTTGTGAGTATATTTAGAAATTTCAAGCATGGATTTTGTTTAAATTCTGTGATTAGGTTTTGTGTGGACGGTTTTAATTCTCCGTTAGTTTTTTGTATTATTTATACAGTGCTTCTCAAAAATCACTTCTCCCTTTTAACTTTCGAACTAAACAAACGAAGTGTGACATAAGAGGTAAACTATACAGTAATTATTGCTAGATTTTGACAAAAAAAACGACATTATTTTAAACCTCAAATCCGTCAAATTCTCTCCAACGGCCTAGTTTCATAGTCCCTGCGAATTCTTGCCTCTTCCTTTTTTTAGGAAATCTAGTATATGTACCGCTGAAGTGAGTAAGGAATTGAGTCGATTGTGTTCTAAATAATCTGTAATTATAGAAATAGATCTTCCCATTAAAAAAACTATTTTCGATGTTATTGACAAAGTTGAGAATCAAGTGTTCAGTAATAGCCATGGAAATATCTCATGCTTAAAGGATGATTGAAACGACAACCTCCGCCGTCAACCTTGTGCGATACTTTGGGTTTTTCAAATCTTATTGTGACGCATATACACAACCTGTTGTTCTAAATTTGTCTGCCTACTTTCAACAAATAGGATTCTCGGGATGACGTGCGTGGAAACGTCTCGTACAATATTTATATGTATCACTATTATTTTTGACTTTACTCGTATTGTGTACCAAATTTGTTGAAACTAAAAGCACTTCTTCTCACCGTAGGTACCTACAATTTTAAATTAAGGTCTCTTGTTAATTCATAGTTGACTGCCAATTTGGGGCCAATATTTAGTATTTTACGTATTTATACCCAGTTTAACAAAATACAACTGTTCAAAAGTTATGAGAGAGGAGCTTGCGTTTTGTGCAGCAAAGTTAATAAAACAACACTTTCAAAATAAAATGAAAATTTGCATGTTAATGGGAACTAGAAGGGTATCATAATAATCTACCCAAAATATACCCGTTTAACCTTTTGTGAAATCGTGACCTGTTCGGAATGATTTTTTTTCAAAGTCAAATATCTTCCGTATAGTAGTGTATTCATGTGAACTTTTTTGTGTCGGTTTTCACTCATAGCAAAAATAAAAGGAAGAGGTGATTTTTAAAAAATACAATTACGAAAAAAATGTTTTTCAAATATTAGTGAATACAAATGGTATGAATTATAGTAAATGTGAAAAAGAAAAGCTGTAGTAAGCTGGAAAATATTTAAATATTGATAAAAGTACCTGTTGTGGTAGAAACCGCCAACTTGAATAGGAGACCACATCACGATAGTTACGTAGAACACTATTTTTGCGCACTTACTAATAAAATTTTGTAATTTAAACTTTGTAGCATACATTATAATAGTTACTTAAAACTATAAATTACAGATCCTCGGTCGACGCTTTCAGAACGTAATATCTCCGTTATCAATAGACATATTATTATGAAATTTTAAATATAAACTGTCCACACTGTTCAGTATATAACGCAAGAGAGTTTTTTTTTTAAACATTTTTATCATCATCTTAGTGGTGAAAACCGCGTTTCGAAATTTCCATAAATAATTGAGATATTGAATTTTAAAAATACGTGATGAAACATTTCTCCAAAACTTTAAAAATAATAGTGATAGTAAACTGTTTTTAAAAAACTGTCAGTGTGTTACCTAGAGTAACTTATATGAAAATTTTAATAGCAATAAGTCTGTTAATAACGGAGATACTATATTCTGAAAATCTAATAAACACCCCGTAAGTGAAAGTATTTTAGGAATATCATGTAAGATGAGAAAAAGCTAACCAGAATTTGTCTGTTAATCCTCACGAACAAGTTGATGACGTCATCTCAAAATTTTGCATTGTAAATCCTATTTAAATTTTCTAAAATAACGTACTTCAATGAATTATCAATTGAAAAAGAGAGCGGAAAGTAAATTTTGATAACGTCATAGAATATTTTGCCAAAATAAACACCCGTAAGCACGTTTAGTATTTGTTGTTTTATTATATGGGGGTGCTCCCTGGAACACCGCCCTGGGTGCCAAACCACGCTACGCCACCACTGGTTGTTAGTACATATTAAATATACTGCATCCATCCGATTTGATGTGTGCTTCCTAAAAAGTTGCCATCAAAAAAAATTTATTGAAACATACGCATACTTAGTATGTTTTTTGCCTATAGTTACCTCTATGGGTTATTCTTTGTAAGAAGGAAAGTTCTGTCTAAATATCTTCCGACAATTTTGTTAGAATTTTCTCAGCAACCTGCATTCTGTAGAATAAAAAAACTAAAAGTTCTTTGTAAATTTCCTAGAGGTGGAATTAATCTTTTTTTTTTTTTATGTTGCAGTTTCATGAGCACTTTGTTGACGGCCGTTTTAACCTACCATTTAGGCTGGGTCAATACATGTTTGCCTGCATCCAGCGACGCTGTTCTTCAGTCTAGACACCCGTTTAACCCTCTGTGGGGTGAGCTTAGCGATTTATATGGAGCGGTAGGCCATCCGACAAAAATAGCTCAAACTATTATTACTGGTAGTAATAAGAAAGATCTTATTTCAAAAATATTGTTATCTATGACGTATTTTATCCGCTGTTGTGACGTGGAGCGGAGAATTCCCATACGTTCTGACATATATGAGGAAAATCAGATCGTTGAAAAGATTTGTCGAAAGCACTCCTGCATTCCTAAGGAAAACTACAAGAAGTATGAAGACCATCTTAAGGAGATTATGAATTCGAATAAAGATTTTTTCGCCAAAGCAAATAATAGTGATAATATTCATAATTATTGTCAAAATAGGGAGGTAGATGCATCTTTAACAACACCCAACCCGTTGTTAAAAAAGTCTACAGGGTTAGCTAAAACTCAGACATGTTTGGGCGACTTATCTAAATTGGCAGAAAATGATGCTTCAAATTGTTTATATCCTAACATTACAACAGACTATAGTTCTCAGTCAGAACTTGTAACAACGCTCTACCCAAAGTTGAACACTTCTGAAACGACAGAAGAACATATGTATCCTAGTAATGATGAAATTAAGAAAAAAGTTAATACTTTGTGTAGAGTACCAAACAGTGCAGTACTGTGTCATATGGAGAAACAAAAAGACTGTGCAGTCATTCAAGAGATGACTCAACCGCATGTTGTAAATATGGAAAAACAAATGCGAAGCACCGATTTTAAAACAGGTATGCAACAATCAGATCCTGTTTCCGACTGCAACGAAAACAGAAATGTTGTATTTGTTTTGGGCGATGACGAACGACTTATTGGAATTAAAAAAGATTATAAAGTCATTGAGAAACAACCAGAAATTACAAATGCCAAAAAACGAAGACCGTCGTATCTTGATCTTTCAAAGCAGATTTACAAGAGCGAGACCATGAGTTTCCAGGATTCAGATTTTGTGGAAAACTCGGATAAATCTAAAGTGAAAGCAAGTACTTCGTGGTCGTCTGTAGCGGAAAAAGAGATCAGAGAACAAAATGAGGCAGCTGAAACTAGTAGAAGTTCATATTCCAAGAAATATCCTCGTGCACAAAGTGAACCTCCGGAGGAAAGACAGCCAGAGGATTCTAACAGGAAAGCTAAATATCGTTATTCAGGGGTGAAATTCAGTTTACAACAATATCCTCAAATTTTGTCGAATTACATGAAAAGTAAGAATGTGGAAATTACCAATTTACAGTTTGGTGATAAAAGTTTGAAACTGGATGAGCTTTCGTCGCTTAGCGAAACAATAATTTCGAAGTACCCTGAGTTGGACGAGGAGTACGAGGACGGAGAAGCACTTCAAACCCCATCTAATGCGTCTGAGTTAGAATTTACAAGTGACTTATTTGTGGCGCCCCTTAGCGCTAAGCAAACTAAAGAATCAAATGTAGATTTGCAATCAGGTTCCTCTGGAAATCAAAATATACCAAATACAATAACCGAAGAGTTGAATGAGAATTGTGATGACCATAAGACTGCGCGTAAAATTTCGAGTTGCTCAATTCATAAGATGAAGGTTGCTAATTTACCTATGCCAAAGTATGTTACTTGGTCGCGGTTTTGTTAAATTGTTAACACGTTTATGGTTGCAGGTCGAAATTTTATAAATCTCTAAATAGTTCTCTTAAATATACATCGTCGTTAATGAGGGCGACTAGTGACAGTTATATGCCTGATATGGTGCTTCAAGGACCAATAGTGCCAAAGCAAGAATGGGAAACGAGACTGAAAAGTGATTTAGCTTTGGCGAGCCAACATTCCCTTATTGATCAACCAGTGGAGGAGGCTGTTGCAGTGATTGCAAACATAGACACTTGGTATGCTCTCTCACTATACTTTATATGAGTACTCTTATATTAATTTTCAGGGAAGTACAGTTAATGTCCAGTCATACGTTTCTTATTGACAAAGGGTCAACCGGAATTAGAATTGGTATGTCCCAGCTGGTTTCAAATATGTTGGAATCTCTTCTTCAAATGTGGAAACTGAAAGTTCCACCTCACTTTGTAAGCAATCACAATACTCAAAACAATCGGACCCTTCAATCTTTCTTTTAGTGCCTCATGCATATTGAACAAACGCTTCAAGAGTTATGTATAAGATCTAAGGCTCTGTCTGAGCTGTTGTTAGCAACGGAGTTTTGTAATATGGAACAGTTGACATCCGCCCTGCAGCTAGAAGTTAATGATGTTCCTCTACTACTGGCTGTAGCCTCAACGCATTCGCCTCAAGTAACCCAAAAATATGGCCTCAGCTTTCAGTAATTGTTAAAGTCATTCATTTATACTGTATTTATTTTTATTTTGTACATACTATCGTTTTTTATTTATATGGAATAAATTTGTTTCAATGCATTTCAATCCTTAATAACCCCTATTGAAATCAATCAGGCCTGGAAGTGGCACTTTCTTGTTGTAAAGATCTAAATTTTTTTGGAACTGATCTGCTATGTCTTTGGCTCTACTCATCCCTGCCACGTGTGGTGTAAGAAATACCTGAAAATTATAAGCATCACATTAAATTGAAAACAGCATTTCACCATTTTAACCAACCTGTTTCATTTGCCACAGAGGATTATTCTGAGGTAAAGGTTCTACATCATATACATCTATTATTGCAGCCGATATCCAGTTGTTATCTAGAGCTCTAATTATAGACTCTTCAGAAATTACGTTGCTTCTACCAATATTTATAAGAACACTTTTCTTTTCTGTAACATTACATATATAGATACTTAATTCAAAATTCTATAAACTATTGGAACAAACCTGCGCTATTTTCTAAAACGTCATTGTCCAGTATACCATCAGTTTCGTCAGTTTTTGGTAACACGTTAATAATATAGTCACATTCTTTGAGAAATAATGGCAACGTCTCTTTTGTATAATATTTCGATACATGACTATATTCATTACCATCTGGCAGAGCTGGTCTCCGACCAAACGCTAGGACGGTGGCACCCAATGCATACAAAGTCTTACCGACTACAATTGTTGATAATAATTACAAAATAAACATAAAATTTTAATACTTACTTCGACTTCCAATATTACCCAAACCTAAAATGCCTGTTGTTAAGTCAGAAATAACACGGTAACCTGTGATTTTTCCATGTCGATTCCATTCCTGTTTATCTTGGTTACTTCTGACTTGAAAGAAATTACGTTCATGGTTAACTATATTGGCTACGACGTATTCACTCATTATTCGACCGAAATGTTCCCCTGTAAATCTTGTGATTTGATACGGCAGTTGTTTCTCTTTTTGGATTAATGGTGTAAGCTTATCGATTCCAGCCCATGTACCTTGGACCCATTTTACGCTAGGTAAATCGTACAGATATGGTCCCAGTAAATCAAAATCACAGATTAATATTTCCGATTTTTTGAAATGTATATCGACTTCTAAGAACAAGACAAAGTTTTCTCTTTGAATTTTTTAAGTTCTATATACTACATACCAACCTGGATCTGTTACTTTATGAAACTTTACACTGGGCAAGGCTTTTACAAGTTCCGGGAGAAGATTGGGAGTTCTGCTTAAAACTGGTATGAGTACGCTCATTTTAGGCTGGCTATTTTATCTAGAAATGCAAAATATGGTAACCTACAATGTATCCTAGAAGGTTAAATTTATATGAACTGTCAGTCACAGTCATATCATGCGTGTATTACGTAATTATACATAAATAGATCATGCATTTATCGGCCTAATTCAATAGCGATTGGTTCATTTATGACCAATCCTAGTTCGGCTCACTGATATTCGACGAATAAAAAATGTTTGATTATTTTACTACGTGTTGGGATAGTTATTTATTATTGGCAGTTCTTGCTTTACCATTGGTTGTATTATTACGAAACACAAGGGAGGTGACGATTCGATGTTTTAAGAAAAAACACAAGAAAAAGGTAACCGAGGGCGGTGGGGACCATCTGGAAATCGGGAATTTTCCAGGGGCGTCGGTAGTCCCAGTAGTCAGAACGCCGATGCCTCAAATTCAAATTTTATCTAATTCTACATAAATGAAGTAAAATGTGTGAAAAATGTCCCGTTCAGGGGGGCCGGCGCCGGTCTAAATTTTTTCCGCGCTGGTTCAACAGAATAATCCCATCCGACCCTAAAAGTACCTACCATTTGCGGTAAGTAGGTAAACTATAGTCGTCTAATCGTCATTGTTTTGTCGGGGTTTGGACCATATACTGGAGTACCCAATTAAGTTACAAGACAAGAAGTATAGTGACAGTCTTTTTCCACAGTAAACTTATGTACTGTGCGTTTTCTCTCCAGTAGAATATTAAAAAAATTAATATATCCACCATTACAAAAATAGCCAAGTCGAAAAAAGAAAAAAAAACACATTATTATATTTTCATTAGCTCACTGGAGGAAGTGTTTTTTAAAAACACTTTTAGGAGTACCTACACAGTACACACCTTAGATCATATAATAAGCGAATTTTCGCGACTAACTTTCTGTAACTGAAAAGTATGATACTGGTAACATCCCCACCTAATGACAATGACGTAATCAACATACTGCGACGATTATCACGAAAATAATGTAATATGATTGACTGTCAAGAAGTGTGACAAGAACGTAAGAAAATATAACCTTGCAATTTGCAAAAACTGTGCAGCATTAAAGTTTTGGTGGAAAATGGAGCCACTCGGCGTAATTAATTTATGTGAACAGTACTTTTTTGATGCTGATGAACTTCTGTTGTGTAACTGGATTCTCAATAAAACAAATGCCACAAATTTGTATATAAAATTACGTGAAACCTATTACAAAGGGCCGATTGAAGAAGATTGGTTAAGAAATTACCATGACATCATGTTTTTTCGATTTTTTCGAATACAAAAGTCAACGTTTTTAAACTTATTAAATGTTGTTCTGGAAAATGACAACCATAAGTTAATGAGGAAAAAATATCACGGGGGTAATTTACCAATACCACCTGAGAAGGCTTTGCTTACGTTTTTAACATATATGGCAACCCAAGAAAGTTTATTGTCAATTGGGCAAAGATTTGGAATTGTTCCATCAACTGCAATGAATATAGTGAATGCTTTGCTTTATATTATGTTAAAAATAAAGAAGAAATACATATTTTGGCCTCGAACTGATGAAGAGGTAGAACATATAATAAACGGTTTTACTCATTATCCAAGTAAATTTTTAAATTGTTTGATATTTCAAAATGATTCATGTTCATGTTTTTCTTTAGATGTTTTGGGTGCTATTGATGGTAGCCAGATAGATATAAAAGTCGTGCCACATACTCAACATGACAGTTATGTTAATAGATATCTTAGACATTCTATTAATGCTATGGTGATATCTACTGCTGAAAAAATTTTGACTTACGTTTTTATTGGATTCCCAGGATCGGCCCATGATTCCAGAGTAATTTATATTTTTGAAATTATGGAAGTTGAACCTCAAGTGTAACTTATAGGTCTTTTCGAACTCAACATTTGTCCAAAACATTGCAACACATGGTTCGCAGTTCTATTTTCCTAATGAAGAATGTCATATATTAGGAGATAGTGCATTTCCATTAAAAATGTGGATGATGACACCCTATAAGCGTAGACCAGCTTTAAATAGAATTGAAAGACAGCACAACTATCATTTGAGTGCTGATCGTGTTGTGGTCGAACATATTTTTGCCCGCATTAAAGGTCGATTTAGGAGAGTAATATTCATTAACACCTACTCCATTAGCAAAGCTATTGAAATAACCACTGCTGCATGCGTTTTACATAATTTTTGCTACATGAATAAAGATCAGTGGGAAGATGAGCTCTATGAAGATGTTAACGAACAAGAGTTCATTGCAGAAGACAATGATGAAGAAACTCGAAGAGCACAACTCAAAAGGAACCGAATAGCTAGAGAATTATTAAACAATGTATAATATATATTATAGAAAATAAGAAAAGATAGATACAATATGTATTAAAAACAACAAAACATAAATTCTAACGAAGGAAATAACATTGTCTTTAAAATCGTTTCTGTTTTAATTTTCATCTTCACTGGAATCCATTTCGCGTTTTCGTTTTTTGGTCATTTTCTCTAGGATTGTCAGCATTCGGTCTCTCTGACGAGTTTGCTCTGTGAACAACGTATGCATTGCTGCAAAATGCTGATTGCGATCCTGTGCTTCTTGTTGTAAGTGTTTTGTTAAGAATTCTAGATATATTTGGTTGGATGTTTTTGGTTTAATACCATGCTTTACTTTCTTAAATCGATTTTTAATGCCTATCTTTTCCTGTAAACAAACAGTACATATTTAGAAAATCTGATGAATGAAGTTATACCTTTACTTGACTATCAGTGCTTGCCATGGTAGTACTGCTTGTACTTGGTGTGGGATCGTCATAAATGCTAGTACTGGAGTCTTCACCTTCAGTGTCCTGCAAAATACCATAACATATACAAGAATATTTAAGAGTTTCTCCAATGTGGTGCATTTTACTTGTAAATTTTGAGGATGACATTTATGTTTCTCCCCTAAAATCGCATCCAGCTCAAAATAAAATGGGGGGTTATTAATTCGCTCAGTGCCTGTTTTGCGCCTATGGTCTTTACACTTAATATAAGTTTTCTGCAAATTTGCGAATTTTTGTTTACATTTTTTTGCGTCCACATTAAACCCTGTTTCGCGCATTTCTTTGACAATTTGTTGCCATAAGGTTTCCTTATGAGTTTTTTTGTCATTAAAGTTGTCTTTTAATCTTAATCGAAGCTCCAACAATTTGCTGGTGGCAGTCATACATTTTACTGTGGGTCTGCTTTTGGTATACCAAACATTCGCAAGTTGTGTGTCGTCGTTTTCATTACTTGTAACATTTTCAATATCGTCGTCGTTTCCATTATTTGTAACATTTTCAATATGGTCTTCGATAAACGCATCGGCTCGTTCCTGATCTGGAAGAAGTGAAAACAAATAAACTAATCTTTAAATGAGATTTATAAAAAGTACCATTTAATAGAATCTGGGCAATATGTAATGGGACTACACACGAGTAGTCTTCTCCCTTACTATTTATAGAAATCTCCACCAAGTTCTCTTCTTCATTAGCTTCTGGTTCAACTATCATGTCTACAAAATGCAACTTGTGACATTAATTAGTGTTAAAACTTGTTTTAATAAGTTGACCTTCTGTTGACGAACACATTTTTTTTTCAAAAATTAATATAAAATTGCACCATCAACACTCAATCAGTCTCAGAACGCAAATTAATTTATTAGGCGGCAAAGAAAATAACCTAACAAAACTTGAAACACATTAGACCCATTTGACAGATCTACATTTGGTTACCGCGAGATACATGCAACGTTAGGCCGTTAGTGCCAGTATGTTCATGGTAAGGTCGATATGACGTCACAACACCTTCTCCTCTGATACCTTTCCAAAGCGAAAATGTTAATGTTACACGTAATAAGATACCGTAACTTACTTAGTTAGTCGCGAAAATTCGCTTAATAAATAGATACCACCACGCCGTGTTCTTTCCCTAGGACAGCCTGTGACGACATCCTCCTGTCACACATCTCTCTCGTGCATGGAGGGATTACAATGAAGCTATCCTTGCCTGATCACTATTTGAATTTTGCGCGCCTAAATTTTAGGAAGTATGTCTGAACTAACTTCGGAAGAAAGATGTTGACAGCTTGATTTTATAAATAATTCACAGTAGATAACGAAAGGAATAGTAAATTATTGGGCAGCAATTGTCATCCTTTATGACTACATCACCCATAGGATCTTTGTTCTAAATTCTAAAATTGTTTTTTGTACAACAACTCGAAAGAGAGGTTAGAAGAAACATCTGTCAAAAGCGATTTGTTGCGCTGGTGCGGTACAAGGATGGAAGTGAAATAGACATATACAGATGAAATGCATATAACAAAGATGAAGATGTGGTGATCACACAAGGATAGCATTATACTACTCCCCTTGACGTAGAAAACGACAACAGATAGCTTCATGTCTAGTCACAGCTTTCAGTTTGAGTATTGGTATCTATTTATTATATGATCTAAGGTACACACACTGCAAATGCTTCCTATAGAGACCTGAAGATGGAGAACTCGAATACTGGTCGGTGAAATCAAATATAAAGTCGCGATCTTTTCTATAGAACCACTCCCTAGTGTAAATTTTCAAAATTTGTTTGGTGTAAGTGACCTTGACGGGTTTCTGGGGGAAAACATAGGTATCAAAAATTTGACAGGTTAGATGGCCCCATTGTCAGTGTAGATATTTTATTTTAATAAACAGATGAACAGAACATACAGTCTGCACAGGATACAGTGCGGCATAACTGAGGGCAACTGAAACATTCGTGTTGTGCTAGTTTCGATTGCCATATCAACTACCGCTACCAACCGCGTTCGGCGTAAAGTACTAGATGACAGGGCTATCAACTTGACTTTTTATCGAGTGGTTCCGTAGAAATGACCGCTACTGTATATTTTGAATTTTGAAATATTGTACTCAAAAAAAGTGTCTCGTAACCTTTAATTGTCGCTTATTTTGTCGTGTAGTTTGAATTTATATAAAATGTATGAACCGATTTCAATGCATTTTTTTCTTTTTGTGTGAAAGCTGGTTTAATCGGGATGGTTTTTAGCTATGTTTGATGATAATCACTTCAGTCATTTTTTAATTCTGAAACCTTTTTCTGTTTATGTATTTGTCTGTGGCACCGTAGCTCCCAAACTGATGAACCGATTTCAATCCGGTTTTTTTTCGTTGAATGCTGGTTTGATCGAGATGGTTCTTAGCTATGTTTGATGATAATTACTCCAGCCATTTCAAGATCATCAACTGATGTCTGTTGCACCGTAGCTCCCGAACGGATGAACTGATTTCAGTGCATTTTTTTTTTTTGTTAGAAAGTTGCTTTAGTCGAGAAAGTTCTGACAAGAGTAGTTTAGTGAATAGCTTAATTCGTAGTGTCTTCTAAGGTGAGAAAAAGAAAAACAATAATAACTGCATATGTAGGTAGGCTCTAGGCTACTAGTGTGTCGAGTGATTTCTAGAAATAGCGAAAATTACAATTCATTGTATGATTTAGTTCTTCTTCTTGGAAAGGAAAACCGCGAAAGAAATCCATGAAAGAATTTCGCCTATATTGAACGAAGGTCCAAAAGCTGCTGTCATACCAGAATGATTGGCAAAGCCCATGATGTGGTTTTAACCGATGGAAAAATGAGTTAGCCGAAGTTATAACCACTTCAACTAATAAGAAAGTTAATTTTTAACTTCCGGCGCAAAAACCAAAAACGTTGTTATGTTATAATTTCAGACATGGTGACTGTAAATTGCGGCGGACGGAGAAAAATCTTCTAATCCCTACATGTAAAAAGATTTACACAGGATTCCTCATTTTTTCTTCCTGGGGCGTTAAGTTATTAATGGTAGTAATCAGAAAGATCTTGTAGAAAATATTGTTAGTTATGGTTTATTTTATCCACTGTTGTGATGTGGAGCAAAGAATTCCCCATACGTTCTAACATATTTCTTATTTATCGGAGAACAAAATGGAGCAGCTGAAATTAGTACAAGTTCATATTCCAGACAAAGTATTGCAACTCGCAATCCTTCAGTATTTCTTTTAGTGCATTAGCCTATTGAACAAAAGCTTCAAGAGATATGTAGGTATACTCAGTGCGAGCTTAATCCAGTACAGGTTTGATAAATTCACTACTTGTTAGAATAATTGTTTATTGTTGGCAGTGTTTCACTGTTGGTTATATGTTATACCCTCAATACAGTAAGTGATGTTTTAAGGAAAATTAGCTTCACAGTTAGTAGGTACTACCATATGGCGGTAAGTAAACTCTCTGTGTCATTTTTTTATAAAGTTTTGGACGATACCAGAGTACTTTTACGTAAAAGTTAAGATCCTTATTAAATGAATTAAAAAAAATGCAACGCAAACTAATTTTCGTCACACTATTGCATATAAAAGCAATAAGAATTTACGTGAAGTGAAACTACCTATACGTTAACTCCAGTTACAAATACATATGAAATAAACACAGCAATAATAACGTGGTTTTACTAAAAACTTCGCTGTGAGAGGTATGTCTGAGAATAAATGTTCAAAATTCAAGTCGTAGAACGCATAAATGATAACACTGATAACATAAAATAAATATAAATCATGGCTTCATATAGAGAAACTGACAAACAGAAATGTGAGACCTACTCCTTCGTACTCTAGAAGTCATGAAACGTCGAGAAAACTTGAAAGTAGTCATTTGCGAATGAATCAAATTACAATGGATCCTTAACTTACGCCCAGGAAGTAAGAGAAACCGTCATTAAAGTAACTGCATGCGACTCCCATCTCTGCAAAGGACGCTGCTGATTTGGCAGCCTGATTCACTAGGGTTGAAAATCCGGTATTGCAGATAAACATTCACGTGAAAACGGTAAAGAGAGAAAAACACACAATTTGAGTGTGTGGTCCGGCCACTCGGTCTCGCCATGTAATCCCGTTCGTTTATATATAAAAAAGGTACACAATGACACAATTACAGTCTTTTAGGGTAATCATCAGTCTATTTTAATTCTAGCACCAATGTAATGTGGTACGGATAGAATTTATTTCTACACAAAATCCTCGATACCCAAATTTGATTCTCACATTTTTGGCCGTTGATTTACTTTTATGACTGATATTTCGTTTTCGGGTTTAGTAACAACTCGAGCTGCTTCAAAAACACATATGTTATTGGGAAGCTCACAGATTAGGATTTGGAGCATAAAAAGTAAATAATTGTAAGTAGTTAGGTACAATAAAATTATCATAAAAATTTTAGGCCAAAGAAATGCCACTCTTTACAAAAAAACCAAAGGAAAATTGAGGCAAAGAATATCAAAATGGGTCTATTGAACAGTGGAGTGATGACTAATGACTGATGAGTGGAGTGACGGTTTAAGTTTCTGTGGGTGATATCAGAGATCAAGTAATTCTACTGAAAAATGAAACATATCAGCCATATTGTTTGAAAGAAAAAGTTAAATTTACATTTTACAGCATCTGTTATGGTGTGTGGTGGTCGATGTCGGCAACAGGTACAGGAAAATATTTTAACATCTAATTATTAGACAGAAGAAAGTTTAGATCCACCCAGTAATGCTTCAGGATACATATTTAAAGTCTCTGTCTTAAAGACCTTCATGATGGTTTACAGAAAACAATATCCCTGTACTAAAATGCGTTTTCAGCAGTCCTGACTTGCTCTCATAGAAACACTATGGAATAAAATAAAATAAAAAAAAAACACTTCGTGCAAACCCAGCAAACACAATAGCAGCATTAAAAGAAAAACTACCAAGAATTTGGAACGAATTCGCACGAGATTGCTAGAAATTAGTAAACACGATGTCATATAGAATTAATGCTGTTATCAAAAATAAAAGAGGTGTCACACACAATGGTAACTTGTTCACAAAATTCTGTGCAACCCTATTTTTACTAAAATTGCTAATACCATTCAGTGTTAGACGACCCTATATTATAAAATTATTTTTAATAGAAGCAATAAGGTACATCATATGTATATTAACTTATTCATTTAAATTATATCGTCCAAGGGATCAAAATTAGATTTTTAACGAGTGGGCCAACTGAAGTGAGACGGAACTCATACACTCGCACAAATTTATATTTTGTTTTCCCTTTTCGTCCGTAACTCTTTGATAACCATTGTCACTTATTTAATATTGACCCCATCACTTTTCGTCTTTAGTGATACCGCCTAATACCTAATGAGTTATAAGTCCCCAAAATTGGTGCCATTAATGCCTCTTCTCTAGATGTGGTTTATTTTCATTGTTCGTGTGCTATAAAGCTTAAGTTTAGTAATTATTTATTTATATTACCTACTTTAACCGTGTCGTCCACTACCATTGATACAGAAAAAAATTGGTATTTTTATAAGATATGAGATGAATAGCTACAAAATCTTAAAAGTTTTGTTTTGCGTTCGTTTAAACGGTGATCCATCCAATTTATTATCGAGTAATTCTCATGTATTCGGGATTAGGCAAAATTTTTATTAGCAGGAGTGAATGCTGTTATTAAATGTACAATTAGTGAGCTGACTTCAGCGTTCAGTATTTAACAAACTTTTCCCATGTTAGAATACAAAACCATCTGGCAAAATAATACCGTTTATGTTCCATTCAGCATCAAACTGCTACTTGTGAACATTAAATTACATAAACTTTATGTACAGAACTAATTTATAGTATTAACATCGTATTGTCTTTTATTTCAATGTTATACAATCAACGAAATAAATAAAAACAGGTTCATTTATATTGTTTAATTATCTATATGAACATTATAACAATAAATGAGAGAGCTACCATGCTATGATACTTGTACACGTTGAATATGATGAAAACAGATCTAAAACTCTAGCATTTTACTGCTAGTTACTTAAATGCAGATTCAAAAAATAATAATAAAAATAAATACGTAAGTCAGGACGACAATGTAAAAATTATAATAAATATCGATCAGACTTATACCACTATTTAACATACATATATGATCGAATAAAAAAAAAGAAAAGAAATAAAAAACACTAAAGTTTATTTACACACTTTTCACACTGCATTATTAAAAAAATCGTTTTGTTGAAAAAACCCTAAATTATTGTATGTACAAATTGTAAAAAAATTAAAGTCAGAAATATCAATACAGTAATGAGGAAATTTACTGGAACAGCTGATAAAAATTCCTGACTGGGAATAGTCGAGACTAAATTTACAGAAACAGTTGCAATATGAACAAATTTTCATTTTTAGTCGGGACGTTTTATCATTTTCACAGCGTTTTCCCATAATTTTCCCATGAAATTTCTTTAGAAAACATTCGAGTCTCTCCGATGCATCATTTCGTTAACTCTTTTAAACTTATTTAAAATATTACAGTTTGATTACAATTTTCATCAAAAGTTTTAAGCTTACTAGTGTAATTATACCCTAAAAATATTCATTGTTATTAATATGGGAATACATAATATTTCATGAAGCGTAATTATTCAGTTCCATCAAACTAACTTCAAAGCAATACTCATCATCGTCGTTACCTAGTCACTATAGAAGTCAAGTTCAATTGTATCACAGTCCACCAAATACCCACAATTTGTCACTAGTAATTTTATACACTTTATAAATTTGGTATTATTTACGACGCACTTTCACTATCTTGTAGTTTCTGTGCATTTTCTGCTTCGGCTTGCTTAGCAGCCGCTTGCTCCGCCGCTGCCCTCGCGGCCGCCGCAGCAGCAGACCGACTAGCACTCGAACGTAAGTTTTTCTTTTCGATTATTGCCTCCGGATCAATTGGCGGCAGTTCCCCCGATTTCCTCTTCCCTCGCGTTCTTTTTGTGCTCTTCTTCGGCGGACTTTCGGGCGGGGCTTCGACAGGAGGAGGCGGAGCCTCTTCCTTCTTTTCTTCCACCTCTTTCACTTCCTCCTCTTTCGGAGGACACGGTGGATCTTCCTTCTTCTCTTCACTATCGTCCTTTTCTTTCGGTTTCTCTTGCAACTTCTCCACGTTGACGCACAACGTTTTCACCACCGTCGACGGTGGCAGCAGCGTTTCAATATCGACTCCTTCTTGTTCGTTCCCTGTATTGACACTACTTTTCTCGGGTTGCGGTGATGGCGACTCTTTCATCTTCTTGGGCGGGTTTTCTTCGATCGATGCCGTTTCTGACGATTCTAACGACTCCCGCGGCCTCTTCGTTGAACTGCTGTCCTCACCAACGGCTTTCGCCGTCAGTTCCGCACTGCTTTTGCTCAACTGTTCTATAGCTTCTTTCATTTGTTGTTCCTGCGATTTCTTACTGGTGCCCGTTTGAGCTTCGAGCAGTTTTGTGAAATCTGCCAGTCCTGGCATGCCTTTTTTATCTTTGTACTTGTCAGGAGATGACGTGAAATCTGTCGGTAACATCCCCCTCAGGCTTTCAAGAGCTTTCCTTTTGTCTTCTTTCTTATCGCCTTTGGCTTGTTTCAAATTCGCGTCCAACGAACTCGCTGCTTTCGATATGGTCTCTAGGATTTGAGTGTCAGGTGGCAGCAGTAACTGCTGCAATTGTGCTTCTCTACTGCTTCGCATCGATTTAACACCCGATGTTGACGACGTCGTCGCTGTCGTCACCGTCGAAGACGAACTAGGTCTCGAACTACTCGATTTGCTAGTTTTCATACTCGAATTTGGCGAAGCAGCGGGGTTCAAGCTGCCATTTAACAAACCACATTGTTGGGCAAGAGTGTCATACGCTGCAGACATTCCCGGTTGCAGAGTAAACGGATTCAAACCTCCTAACCCCAGAGGAGTGTACAGTAAACTCGGGTTTGGGAAAAAGAAAGGGAAGGGATTTGTCGTTGGAATCGAACTGCTACTAGAGGGCTGCGACTTGCTACTACTATGCGCTTCTTGAGGCTTTTGCGCTTTGGTGTTACTACTCTTACTCGACGTCGTTTTCTCTCCTGATAAGCCAGCTGCGTCCATAGCACCCAATCCCGGCAATCCTAAACCGGCCAAGTTGGCAAACAAATTCATGTTGGTCAAATTGCCCAAACTCCCCATAGAACTTAGAGCGTTCATGTTAGGCAAGCCGGCGAAGGGCATCAACAATGGGTTATTTTTCGGGTCAAACTGACCTAAACCGGACAACCCTGACAGCAGATTTGAATTGATTCCGCTTAAACCGCTGCTGCTTAAAGTCGGGAACGACAAACTTGACGGTATCGAAGTACTTATATTCGCTGAACTGACGCTCGACGTTGAGCCGGTAGGACTTGACAACAAAGGCGGTCGGCCGGGCGTCGTCTTCTTCGAACTACCACCAGGTACGCGTTTTTGTAAATCGTGACTTAAATTGCCCCTCTCTTTCACCAGTTCGGCCCACTTTGGATCTATGTCGTACATAGGATTTTCCACTAACCACTGACCCAAGCGCTTCAACGTTGGAGCCTTTGGACCTGTCAGTTTTTTCCCAGACACTCTGTGAATCACCGACACATTTTCGTCACCTGTCAACTTTTTCCAGTCCAGTAAGGTCGGATCTATCCTCGGACGTCTTCGTCGTGGCGATAAATAGTCGGCACCCAGAGGCTGTTCCGCTAAGGCAGCGTTCTGTTCTGCCAACCACTTATTAACTTTAGCTTCATGTGAGTAAGAATTTACTTTAGAACTTCCAATGTCTGCTATCATTGCTTCGTAACTTTTCCTTTGCTGCTGCTGCTGCTTTTTCATCAACAGGTTCTGCTGTTCAGCTTGTGCAAGGAATGATGAGTAAGTATCCTTAGAAGTGCTTGAACTTGAAATACCCGAAGGGAGGATATTGGGGATGGAACTGTTACGACTGGAAGGAGCTGAAGAAGGAACGGAAGTAACAGTGATTGTAAAAGGTTTTTGTGTCATGTTATGGGAAGAGCTTACTGGGGCTGAGGTCGGTGTTACGGTTACACTTGGCGTAACTGTAGGTTTTTTAGAGGATTCTGGGAACAGGGACTGTTCTTTTGCCGCCGAAAGACCAAGAACGATCTCGTCCAGTTTTCGGCGCTTTTTTTCTTTTCCAACCACGGGCTCTTCTACAGGCTGTAAATTATTATATAATATTAATCAACTGCATCAATCTTATGGAATATAGAGAACAGTTTGCTAATAAAATGAATTTTGTTGTGATGGAATCGGCACTATTTACTCAGAAGTAAGCAAGTTGTATTAACGTTTAATTCATGATTATATTACAAACTAAAACCATTTTCAAGAAATATGTTTTATTGGGAAGTGAGATAGATAAACATAAAAAACTTAGGTACTTACACAATTCTTCCTCTTCATTAGTTTTGTCAGAGTGTCGTCTAGTTTATTTCCTGATTTTCCTCCACCACCTAAAGCGGCTTGTTTCTTTGAAGGCATCGAAAAGTCTTGAACTTCATTTTGGAGATCCACATTCTTATCAGTCGACTTTGTTATACTGAAATTAAGAATACATTAAATGCATATTTCTATTTCCTTTTCGTTTTCCAATTTTATTACCTTGAACTTAAGTCAATTGGTGTCAAGGTACTACTGGTCCCAGGAATAACCGTCGTTTGTCCGATGGTTTTGGGGGAATGGTACTTTTCGTAAGACATGCCCAGTAGTCTTGAACTAGTTTGTTGATGAGCTGGTGGGGGTTGCAAATTGGATTGTACTGGTGTTGACCTTCGCGAATCTTCTGAGTCTTCATCCCATGAAGATAACCCATGTTTGGGATTAGTCATATGACTACTGTTCAACAATGCATGCAATTTTGCTCGCTCTGTCTCTACGTCAATGGCTATGTGTCTTTTACGTTTTCTATTGTAATTAGTTCTATCGCTGATCGACATCAACTCTGCATCGCCTATAGACATTGGGGTTGAAGAATCACGTTTCGGAGGATCGTTTGGCAGTTCGTGAACTGGAATATCGAATTCGTTACCGATACCAGTAGCATATGCAGAGAAACTCTTTGTGGCAGGCCATTCTTTCGTCTCGATGGCATAAATAATATGTTGAAGTCTAACTTGGATTGCATACTCTTTTGGCCACTTTACTGCATTGTTAAAGAGTTGTGCAACTGTAGTTTCGCTGAAGTCCAAAGCACCAGTACCTTGTTTATCTCGCAAAACGAAAGTATCTACTTGGGATAGCCGTGATAACGGTTGGATTACTTCCAAATCAGGAAACATGGCCTTCAGTTCAGCGGCTTGTTTCGAACATAGATCAGATTCATCCTCGAACTGAGTTTTAGGTGGTTTGACTTCAACTTTTTCTTTAACTTCGTTTGTAGACGTTTCTTCAGCTTTTTTCGTTTCTGGAGGAGGTTTCTCTTCAGTTTTTTCAGGAACGGTGGCCTCTTTTTCTTGCTGATCATTGGTCTCTGTTTTTGGAGTCTCTACTTCTTCACTAGGTTCTACTTGTTCTTCTGTGTTTTCCGTTTCAATAGTTTTGTTTTCAGAAGAGTCCGGTTGTTCCTCAACAATATCTTCTTTCTTCTCGTTGATAATTTCCTCAGGTTCGACTTTCGGTTTCTCTTCCGGTTTGACTTTTTCTTCATTTTCGGTCTTCTCACTTTTCACTATCGTTAATTCTACTTTGCTATTCTCCTCAACTTTCTTATCCTTTTCTTCAGTGCTTTCTTTTTTGACGGCTACTTTTTCTATTTTTAAAGTACCTTCACCCTTCTCGAGTTTGACAAGGATCTCGTCTTTATCAAACTTGAGAATGTCTTCGTGGCTCTCAAGTTTAATGGCGTCTTTGGTTTCTGCAGCTAAATTCTCTGAATTTACCTTTTTTCGAAGGATTTCTTGGAACGACAAATCCGGGTCATTTAATAAATAGTAATCCGTTCGTCCAAGTCCATGCCTATAAAAACAAGCGCGTTACAATATTTACAACCCCGAACAATTCGAAATACTAACTTGGCAACACCTAAAAGAAGATCTTTGTCATGTTTTCCCGCTATCCACCAATCTGGCATGTCAGCTGACGTCAGACAAACTTTCAATCTCTCGTCCAGTTTTGGGTGTGTTAGGACTTCCTCACGAATTCTAGATAATAGTTCTAGCCTTTCCAATGTACGCCTCGCCTTTTCTTCACTGATATGTTCTATGCTGGTATCGTATGACCCATCCTCAGAATGAATGCCAGTTTGCTTTTTGCACATCATCACGAAATGTTTGTAATACTCTGTTAGCTCTTCATCGCCCTTTTTCTCTAGGCGGGCTAACTGTTTAAATTTAGTCCAGTCGTAAGATTTCTTCTTTCTATAGTATATGACGCCGTATGATGCGGCGACTCGGAAGAAATCTGCTTCCTCTCGCTTCGTCCACCTTTTAGCAATAGTGGCACGTTCACGTTCTCTCTCACGCTCTCTTAGAGCTTGTTCCATCGCTTGTTTGCCTTGTCTCTCCATCTGTTAAGAGTACAGAATAATTTACATTTAGGTAAAACCACCTGACTCCGTAAAATTTTATTGCAACAATACTTTCACGGATAAATATTCTTTTAAGAAACTGTTTTGTTTTTTTCAATAGCAAATATTAAACGCCATTTTTTGTCTTATTAGATGTAATTCAAGACGTCAAGGCCCCTAAATAGTTTGATGAAAATTCGAAACTAAATTTAGAGCAAAATTGGCTTTTTAAATGAAACTTATTTAGTTGAACAATCAAGGAATATTGTTGATTGCAACGTGACAAAGACTAGACTAATTAGTCTACAGGAAAATGAAATATTTCCTTATCCACTAATTGGAGTTTTAACTTTGCTTGAGTCGTTACTTCATATGTTTAACTTATATGTAGTTCCACGCTTATTATTCGACCTGGGAAGTGTTACTTACGTTAAAATCATGTAACAACTCAAATTAGTAATCTAAAATGTTGCAGTTCTTGGTTACAACATTAACATCGGTCTATAATGGTGAACTACAGAACAATGACAATATTGCGGCTGCTAAATAAATTACATCCAAACTACTTGAATTACCAGAAATGTGTCATATTGTGCACTGTTGAATTTTTACTAGTGACTAATAATGTAAACGTAATTAATATAACAATGGAATCTATTATTATCAGTATGAAGTGCAACAAATTTTAAATATAGCTCCGATTTAAGTTACATTTTAAAAAGTATAATCTTACGGCATTAAATTCTGTTTATTTTATTCCACGGAACTGCATACCGTTAATACCTTTTATGTTTCGATCTGTTTAGTAGATGTAACAATGACTTTAAAAGATAAGTTTTTGATATACTCGTTAATAGAAATTGTTATGTAGGTACAACTGATCGTATGAATGCGGATCAAAGGCATATCACATTTCCCACTTAAAAAATTTGTAAAGATGAACATCAAAATGCCATTTACATTTACCTTCTGGTCTCCTGTGCTGTAATCGCAAATATGTATTTTCTTTGAGATGAGTGATTCATTTAAATCAATTAAAATACTAAATAAATCAACCATGAATCTCCACTTAGAAGATCCATCACACTTTCAAAAAACTTCGCCACTTCCTTGAAAATAAAATCCCTGTGTACGTATTACCTACTTTACACGAGATTTTAACACATTTCTGACATGATTTGACTACGTGTGGAAGTGGATTGTGAAATGACTGGCAATGTATCAACGTAATATAAATAATGAATTAATTTTAATTTGGAATATGAATGTTATCCACAATACAACTACCAATAAACTCTATTTACAAAAAAGTGACCGTTTTCGCATGGGTCGTAATTATTGAGGCATTCCATGTAGTTATGTATGGAGGTATCATAGGTAAAACCCCGGAGAACGGATAGAAATGTTGAAATTCTGTAAAAGTTATTGTTTGTAACTTGAAGGGGGAAGCTTAATTTAATACACTGCAAACATGACGCATATAGAGCGTCGGTGTAGTGACGCGAACTTACAACTAGTAGGATCCGTCAAAAAGAAGTCATTTAATAAGTGTATATTCGGATTGTAGTCTTTCACATTAGACACAATACCTCCTATTAGTTCACAATTTATCGGGGTAAATCACGCGTTGAGGAGACACAACTATTCATATATATTTTTTTTAATATTCTAAATGACACAAGGGTCGCATATATGCCAAATCGTTTACGTATCACCACAACAAGAAAGCTAAGGGGTGTTAAATGTGGTCTGCGAGCTGGCCAAGGAGTATAGCTGCTATTACCGTCCAATTTTCATCATAAATATTTTTCAAAATTAAAACATTTAACTACTTTTCACAGGCAGAAAAGAAAATTGTTGTACTCTACGATTTCAGACGCTAAAATTGCATTTGCACATCCATTTCTACAACAATATAATAGCAACGAGATGTACCTCTCCATTTAGATAATTTATCCTATTTAAAATTTAAAACTAATGGAAACGTAAGTATTTTATGCCATTGGAATCGTACTGGTCTAATCCGTTAAAAAAGTGTACGTTGCAATATATGCGTCATATTTCCGATGTATTAAATTAAGCTTTCGCCTTCAAGCTAATTACAACGACGTTTACAGAATTTATTGTTTCTAGCCGTTTTCAAAATACGAGGCCGAGGAGTTTTATCTGGAACACCTGTGTACCTGCTCACGTATCCCAGTTATGGGAATAATAATCAAAAATTGTTCCAAGCTGTTAAAAGTGAATTCTGAATAATTTTTCTTACGTTTAATTAATAATTTTCAGGGTATGTAAAGACAATGCTCTTTCAAATGTTATAAAAATCTGGACTATTGACAATAAATTCCATATAGTTCATCTACATATCTCAAGAAAAGAAACTTACATTTTATAACGCCAACTTGGAATGTCTGATATTGCATGATACGAACAAAATAACAAATTAAATGTTAATTAAAGCAAAGTTGTTCTACTATAATATAATAATTCGAAAGCAAGATACATTTATAATCTGCACAAATATGACAAGTGTAGACGGCAAAGATGAACCTTTTCTTTGTTTATATTTCAATTAAAATTTTTATTGCGTTGCCACGTGTTCTCTGTTGTGGTGTTGATGGATTTTAATGTGTGAATATAGAAGTGTTGTCTTAATAAAAGTAAGGGGAGGTCATTTATTTTTATTTACTACAATATTTCTTTACTCTGTTATTCAACAAACACATTAAAAATAAAACTATTGAAAAGTAGCATTTCTGGCAAGTGTCATTTCAAAAAAGGGGGGATAACTTGCTTAAGTAAAAACAGATGCTTACCCGTCAACTTAGCATGTGAATACATATGAATATTTTTTTTTTACTTAAGACACCCGTTATATAATTTGGATGATTTACACACAGAAAATTCAGACTACGTGCCATGCACACAACTACATTGACTCGTTTGACATTTTGTGCTTTTGCTTTGACATTATTTAGAAATAAGTTTTTTCAAAGGTTTAAATTTGTATATTTAAAAAAAACTTCAATATCGACACTATTAAGTTTCACAAAATAATTTCGTTAATTAATATAAATTATGACTTATTTTCTGTAGTGTCACCTGTCTAAGAAAAGAAGCACAATTGTCAAAATATCATATTCGTACATGTATGGGCTTCGTACGAAAAAAAAAAATAGAAGCAAGTTGGATTACTGCTCTCCCTATATATTTTGTTCTATGCCACATGTACACTACTATTTTTGTAATTTCCTCTGTGCTTTGAAATCGTGGCATACCTTGAATTACTTCAGAACGAGCGGAAACAAACTAGAAACTGATTTTCTAAATATCACTGAAAATGTTCTCTTTAGGTAATTGAAGAAGTGCCAAAAAAGCAACACAACAGAAATAATGTCGGCAAATTGAAATATAATTATTTTAGAATGAAATAATACTTTTTGTACAGTTTATATATAAATGAATAATTGAAAATAAGACAAAATTATTGGTATTGAAGTCACTTTAGCATAAACTTTTCATTTGTAGAAAGGAATGCGCATCGAACTCGTGCGTATCAGTTTTAAAACAGTTCTTTTTATTTTCTTAGTATGTACGTACGCCGCTTTCTAGGTAATATTCAAATAACGTTAATACTTGCAAAATTATCCATTTAAGAGAGCAAAAAATATCCTGAAATTTTTAAAAACTCACGACATTATCACTGGCTAAAATAATTATTTCCAATTCATGGAACGGACTTGGGTCGATATTATTTCGGTACACCAATAAAGGGAAATAACAGCAATTTTGCCAAGTTTTTATTGCGACGGAAAGAGTTATCGTGAGAATTATTTTTGTTCAGAATATAACGAAAACAGATTTAATTAAATGCTTTTGATATACATTACCATCGATTCATCATTAACAAGACGACGAAATTGATTAGAGTTTTTCAATAAACGATGTGTTTGAACTTAATTTGATTACACAATAGTTGTGACACAAAAGTAACATCACAGAAAAACATTCAGAATAGATAAAACAAGTATCTTACCTGCGCTTTGTAGATTATTTAGCAAAATAATAAAACTACGATACTTTACTATTTAGTTACACATTAAATATATAAGTTAACGGAATAAAAGGGGAAAAATATTTCAGTTAATTCTTGAAAATAATCGAACTAAAAGGGGCGCCACTTTTACAAATATTAAGATAAAAATAAGGCGACACAAGTGGAACGATGTAACTATAAAATCTCAAAAACGATCACAACGCACTACGCAATTCTCAAAATAAGTATATAAATTATTAACTTAGATAAAAAATAATTATATAGAGTGTTTATTTTATACTAACCAGCAGGTAGAGGGCTAGCTGTTGTAGATCCCATCCTTGCAAACCAAGTGCGGCCGCTTCCCTCACGTCAAACTGTTGTGACACTTGAGCCAGGGCAGCCAAGGGGGAGGACAGGGCAGGCTCTATCGAGGGCTGCACAGTGCATACTACATACTACCCGAACAGCCAGCACGCTTTCATGCGTGTGCACAATAAAATGGTAGATGATAAGTTTCTTGCGACAAATATGAATTTTACCCAGAGCGAAATTCGCATTTATCGCAATTTCAATGAATTCAGAAAATAAAAATGTATGACTGAGAAAAAATTCTACATTTATGTACACAAGCGCAGAAGCACATTTATAAAACGAAGAGAAAAAAATAAACAAAATCTTGACCTCGAGGGGGATCAAGCCATAATAATTGATAAATTCTTTATATGAATTACTTGAATAAACTTTACATTAAAATCACTGAGTCCAGCCACGATGTAAAAAATCACTTACCTTCGCTTTAGCTGCAGCGAGCTTTTGTTCCTCTTTTCTGTAATTTCTCTGATATGAAGTGATCACTCTTCTCAGTCTTGTGTTGAGATCTGTAATCGTAGGCCATGCTGGTTTATCGTCCAAACCTTCATCACGATCATCGCCGTCAGGTTGTTGTGTTTCCGAAGATGCTGATGGACCTGGAGAAGGTTCAGCAACCTCGGAATTCGCTTCAGATGCATCGCGATTTTTTGACTTTAGACTTGATTCTTCGTTCGTATCTTCGTCGTCTAAGTCGTCATCGTTACTATAAAATAACCGCGAACGATGTAATAAACGAAAATATATAGCTAAGTCTTTTTGGACTGACAATGTGGTAAATTTTAAATGGCAAATTTGTAATCAGAACATTTTCGTGTCAGACACGAGAAGTCGCTAAGTCGGAACGTACATTCAAGGAAATGTAAAAGAGCCAACTGAAATATTTGCACGTGATTCAGGTTCGAAACTTTTATATAAAAGCCAAACAGGAATGTGGACAAAATCTACTGTTAAGGTTGGAGTGTGACCATTGGAAGTGCTGAAGAAAACGTGATATTATCAACTATGATGGCTGAATTCAGTATTTCTAGTAAACGCAATCAACATAAATTCATAAAACCAAATCGCAGACATTTTCTGTTAGTTATGCTAGATATATTTGAGAATTTATGTTTAAGTTTAAGAGTGTAAATTAATATTACGCATGCAAATAATGAAAATTGAAAAATAAAACTTATTGTCAACTACGCTGTAGTACTGTAGTTTATTTGTACTAGCATAACACACATCGATAGTGATAACTGCCCAAGTATCATCTATTGTTCAAGCGCAGTACACTAATTTACATCAGGTAGGTATTGTTACGAAGCTTCAGACTAACACATAACATACAAAAAAGCATCCACGACTCTCGGTGGTGTTGAGAAAATTAAAATGCATATTTATTTTGAATGAAATCAAATGTACAAAGTATTTATAAAATAATCTTCGGCGTAATGAGCTTCCAATTTGCAGCAATCAACACTATCAATCAATTGTTGTATCACGCATATCTTAATCTTTGACAGTTCAATACCGCTATTATTTGCAACTAATGCATATTGAAACAAATTATATATCCAAGTATCCAGTTCTGATAAATACTGCATTTTTTAAGTAGAGGAAGATACCAGATCTGACACTTTTGGCCTACAATTTGGCTAGTACCTTCCAAAATAATAATAATAAAAAACATGTTTTGCAAAAATATTTTTAATTTCTTATGAACGTTAAAAAAAAGGAAATTGTGTAAATGACCTGACCTGCAATATGTAAGTGTCTCATGAGTCATTACTATTATTATTATTTGTGCCTCTTCACACAATACGATACTGAAAGAAAAAAGTAAAATACAAAAATGGAGTGTTTTCAATTAAACTAAAAATTTGGAAATATCGACACATCACCACATCACCAGAAAATCTTACTATTCCAATTATATCATAAAAAAGGACACCAAAAGAATACAAAAAAGAGGAAGTTCTAAAACAAACGTACATATAAAAAAATTTCAAAATAATCCTTCGTAAAACAAAATAAAAAACAAAAACAATGAAAAGTCAGATTATACCATATATATAACACATAAAAAAAAACGGATCCACAAAAAGTTCAATTAAAAATACATTAAATTATCTCTTGTAACTTCGGTTTAATTATACAGGGTCATCAAAATTGATTGAGAGAGTTGGTAAACCTGAACTTGAATAATTTGGTTTGTTAAGTTGTATAAAAATATTAGCTGCTAGATTTGAAGTGTCAAGTTTCAAATTTCAAAACTCAGTGGCGTCTTTTTCGATTTTTTTTTTTGGTAAAAAATATTAGTTGTCCGATTTGAAGTTTCGAATTTTACATTTGTTCCGGAGTGGTACTCAAAACGAATTTGGGGGGTGGAATTATTCTTCAGAATCCACTTATGCTAATGAGTTCGACAATCAACCCCCAGTTCTCTTGTCACGGCACTGAATTCATTGCCACCTAACCTTAAACAAATCTGTCATAAGGTTGACAAACTTCACGGCAAAAACAGGGAGTAGCAACTCTCTCAATCAATTTTGATGACTGTATATATAAAAAAGTTTTTAGGCGACCATTACAAATCTAGTCGTTTTAGGTCCCCAATCACGTTCATGAAGTGTGACTTTCTCGTACTGAAAGGTTACATTTTTGGACTCATTTGTCACATTTTTGGACTAACTTATCACTTTTGTGTACTCAGATGTCGAAAGCTTATTTTTGCGTTCTTGGTGTTGTGTTTATGTCTAACATTTGTTTAAATAAAAAAGCCAAAATCGCCGTTATTTGAAGTCCACGTTTACCGACTGTCGTTATGTAACATGATGGTACCAATTATTTTCTTAGGGGGAGATTCTCGAAACTCGGTAAGGCCTTGCAAGGATCTGCAAATTCAAAACCATAGCAACATGTACTGTTGTTGCATTGTATTTGCAGTTTCGATAGCGATTTGCAAATTATCGGAGTTTCCAGAATCTCCCCCTTAGTATGTAGAAGAAAACTTTGGTTTTTATCGTATCTATAGATTTTTCCTCCAACGACTTAAAAAGATTTTGTAACTTCAAAACCACTTACACAACTAAATTTTTTTCTGCATGGTTGCCTAAAAAACGTATACCTCGGCCAAAGAGACTCTTTAGGCCTGATCTGATTTTTGAAGGTCTCGGCCTCAAACTTTAGATCCGCCAAAGTTCTTTATGGCTTTGATACAAAAATAACTATTGCTTTTTAAATGGAACTACCCCTGCTTTATCTCTCAGGGTCATTTCGACGAGTATGTCGTCTTTTCGTGACGTAATTTCCAAGATACACCACGATATCTTAAGATTAATATCAGCCAGAATTTACTGAATGAAGTTTTTTACAAAAAGTCAACAATGTTACAGTAAGTCAACTACAGTTGCGTTCTATTTGGCATAAATCTCAGTGTTTCTCACGTCATCTCACGTCACTTTGTAGACGTTCTATTTGCAAATTTTTATCTGAGCCGAACTGAGATTTTATTCTCTCGCCAAAAAGTGAGGTTTTACGGCACCATTCTGCGCCTAATTGAAATTATTGTAATATTGTATAAAATAGGACAACAATGATCATAACTATGATGATAAAAATAGAAGGGATGGAAAAAGGGACTTGACTGATGGATAATCAATGAGAAGTGATAATTACGGATGCTGATTTTTAATCGACCCGTGGTGGGATCGATTATTTCTTTAGAATCGTTTTTTTTTGTAACAATTTAAACGAATCGATTCTATTCTGATAAGAAAGAAATCAAATTTATTTTTAAGGGTTAAGATTAAACTGTCAAATGCTAATGTCAAACTGAACAATTACCACGGCTGTAGACAATTACATATCTTGACAGTCACCATTTCAGTGCGAACTAAAATAAACCGTTTCCTTTGCCAAGTTAGGTGAAGTGAGTTTCTTCATTCGTAAACTGAGGTGGTATTCTAACCTTAGTGGAAATAGAATATCTCACTTAAAATATGCACTATACTAAAATCGCCAAACAGATTCAGCGATCACGTGAAAGTCGCATGAACAGCCTGCGCCAAAGTTCTATTGAGTCGATGTCGACGTCCAGTTTATACTACCGAAATCAAGAGAAGTTAAAAAGCAGGCATCATATTGAAAATAAAAATTCTAGTCAGCCACTATAACAAGTTTGGCTTATCCACTTCTAGTTTCTCGCCATACAGTGACAAAATCTATGCATAACTGCATAGGATACCTCGAAATCGACAGTACCACAAATATACACGAGCACATGTAAACTGCAGTGGTATGTAGGTACCTAGTTACTGGGCCTGATGTGTTAAGTACCGAGTTTAAAGATTTACACACTTTGCACTAATATTGCAACGTGCGTCAATGGCAGGAGTAATTTTATTTGCATTATCGGGTCATTAAAAAATGTACTGGTGCAACGATTTTGTTCTAGAATCAAGGTAAAGTTAGCTTAGACAATTCTAGACTATTTTACAGAAGAACCAAAGGTGAAGAAACAATGGATTTCCCGTAATTCACAGTGATTACAAGTAAACGAGTGATCCTCCCAAGAGTTGGTACCTGATTTTATTATCCTCCCAAATTTACATGATATAAAAATTTACAGCACGGACTGGGGAAGATAAGCGGATTAGCTGCTTATACACACCTCTCCATAATCATGTCATAAAGAGCTGAAGTTGCGACAGTAATGCCCGGTTTCTAGAAACAAATTTGTGGATTCCATAAAGTTATGTACTTCATAAAGCAGGAAATTCGTTCCTCAAAGCTTCAACAGTGTTTAGGTATCTCATAGCGGTCTCAAAAGTTATCGCGGATACAAGTGGTAAATAAGAATCTATGTCTGCATCTGGGCAGTGCAACTCAATTCGGACTTGGCGTAGGAAACGTTGAAGTTATTGGGTTGATTTTTGTGCAAATAATTATTGTCATTTTCAGTATTGTGGACAATAACATCAGTGCTACGAATATCTTGTACATACTTTCTTTATCAATGTGAGTAAAAGTAATACATTATTTGTATTGGAAACAAACTATATATTTTATTTATTTCTAGTATTAAGAATATGTATATATTGACCGCAAAAATGGAAACAGAATAAAAATACGTTAACTGTAAACATATCTTCAGGTAAAAAAGAAATAAAAAATAGAATATAATTAATATTGTATCTTAGATTTATCATGAAAAAACTGTTACCCTTATTGTTAGCACATCGTAAAAATTTCACGGTTCAACAAATTTATTATTTTTGGAACAAAAGTACTCTTTCGTAGAAATTTTTGTAAAAACAAGTATTTAATGTGTCGAGTCCCGTTTGAAAGACCCTTTCATACCTTATCATTATTTGGATTACTTCTTGTTTTCTGTAGCGTATCGTAAAAGGCGTGCAACACCGTTGGTTTTTTATTTTTAATAGTATTTAGGTAGTCTTTCACCACAATATCAAAAAATAAATGTATCTCCTGTTCGAAAAGTTTTTTGGCTGTAGTTTGAACGATTTATTTTTTATTTTTTGTGATTTTATTCTCCATACTCATTTCCCCTTTTCAATAATTAACACAAAACAGTTAACGAAACTACTTGCTTCAAAACCACTATGAAAGCTTGAAAATGAACCGAAATTTTCATGTCGCATTCCATCGATGCCCATTTCATACTACTTTATTGTTCTTTCGGCAAGATGTTCAGTACAGGCTGCATGGTCAACATTTCATTTTTGAGCATAGAATTTGGAGCTGGAAAACACAGACACCACTTACTGCATTAAAGCGTAACTGCTTAATAAGCTCGTAAGTATCGAGAGCATAAGTTAGCTACGCACAGCGTTCAGAAACTCGCTCCTCATTTATCGGTTCGACAACTTTATGTGTCTGATAGTCATAGAACTGATACGAGATATCTTTCAGAAACTGGGCATATGAAGCGTGTTTCATGCGCTTTTATTGCTGCATTTATTCGGTGGTTAAGGAAAAAATACACAATTAAAATTTTACATCTAAAAAAAAAAAAAACAGGTGAAACAACTTGAAATTTAGTAAAACAATACTGTTCTCGGAAAGATTAACATCCCAAGAAATTATGAGACAGACCTTACTAAAAAAAAAAGTCTTAAAAAATGCTGTATTTCTTGTGTTTCAGAGATGGGGAAAGGCTAGAATCAATACTGTTATATATTTTTCTGAAAAGGAATGGCTTTTAGATTTAGAGTATAAACACGAAATTATAAAATTATGTAGCAAGTCATCAGAGAATATTTTAACAATAATGCACTCAACCATATTACAGTCGACTGCAAATATTGCCAGTATAAAAAATCTTGATTACTAGTTTTTCACGAAAACTGACGTAAGGAAGCGACATGGAAAGACTAACATCACAATGCTCACATGAGGAGTATTTGTAATTATCTGGACATTCAACTTTAATAACAGGCCATAGAATATCAAAATATCCTTCCCAGAAGTTAGTGTAAAATTACTCAAACTAAAGTGGTAATTTTCCTAAATTATTATTTAATTTATGACTATTTTCAAAGCAAATGTTATTTATAATTAACTGTTAATGGAGATATAACAATCAATATTTGTTTGTTTAAACAACTGTCGATAGTGATATGCTTTAGTAGTCTATGTATATTTTTTAAGAGTATTTTATTTTTTATTACCAAAATAAAACAATTAAATATTATTAAATGGCTAGTTGTCACAAGCCGAGCATCAAATTCTTAACACAGTTGTAGGAAAATGTTTGTTTTACAACTTCCCAATTGTCAATGCTAGCTAATCTATTTAAAATCTCTAATTAAACAGACACTTGACACTCCAACCATCTAGACAACTGACCCCGTATTATATTTAATAATTGCAACATTCCTTGTATGACTATTAATAAAAATATTGAAGAATGGAGCTAAAACACAAGTATATTTTCAATTGAAATATCACATGCACTTTATACTAAAATTCTGTAATGTTGTATGTCAAAAAGAACTTCGATACAACTTTTACGAAATGATAGCGGTAAAAGATTCTCTTGATATGTATTTAGACATTAATTGGCCTTCAGTCTTCAATAGACTTAAGATGACGTCTTCTTCAGTTATCGTAGGAACGTGCAACTTGCACCTACATTTAATTTTATAACTGATATGTATATGCCGTCTATAAGAAATCGAGAAATCTACTGAACTCTCGTTTTGATATACCACACGTCTCTTGAGAGTTAAGACTGAGTTTACCTAGTGATGCGCTGTAAAAATTTCCCACATTTGTCGTTCCTAACGTAGACGTAACTTATTAGTTAAACCTTACCTGAAACTTACAAGATAACAAAGAGCATGCAAAAACGTCAATAAAAAGTTAGACTAAAACTATAAAAGCTTAACAATTGGCAAATGATATTAAAGAGATACACATAAATTTTGACGTAAGAGAAGTAGCATGGCTATGTTGAGTTAGTCAAGAGCAGTGAGCAAGATACAAATAGTAGAGCTAAAAAATAAAAATAAAAAACTAGAGCCGCGACGATGGTACATGTGGAGCTCTAGTCGAAACGGATCTACTTACAGTGCGGGCGTATTGGGTTGCGTGTTAGAGGTTGCCATCTGGAGCTCTCGATCTGAGGGCGGGCCGCAGCGGGACAGGAAACAGAGGGTGGGGTCTGCACGCATCGCCATATAGTTTTCATAGCCGTGCTTCCAAGTGCCCACGAGCAGAGACTTGTCACATTCCGTATCCCACCACTCGCTAGGCAATTGCTCCGTTACGGGAGGGTTTATCGGCAAGGCACTGTGGATCACGTCGCCAATTGTCAATTTTGAACAAAAACAGACAGCGATTGTCACTTATTTTCTTAGTCAAATTCAACTGCTACGTTTTACTGTACATTAACAGCTCCGACTCAAACAAGAATAATGTTGTAATAGTACATTATTTTTGTAGAATTAAGAAATTTTGGTAATATAGCTAAAAACATAATTTGGTATCGAGTGCCCCACCGTTGCACGATTCATTACTTGTATACGAGGGGTTGGGAACCAATTATCGGACAATTAATCAGTGTTAATAACAAAATGAATGAATGTTAAGAATAAGCGATGAAGCTGTGTGTGAATAAATTTTGACTCCAATGTTTCAAAATAAAATATAACAACAACATAATGAACATGTTTTGCTAAAAGCGCTAGCATGACCTCAAGCAGGGACCATGCATACATGTTAAAAATAAGCAAGGCTGATTCCCAACAATATTAATCAAATAAAAAAAAATGTGAGGCCAAGATACAGTTTGAGCATTAAATTGTTATAGCTTACCTGCGTTTGAAGAAAAGCTTAAATTGTATCTCGGCAGAATTTTCCGAAGCTTAAAATCAAAATGTAAATATCAAACAGTGCCTTACCTTGCATGAACTCCATCTGCGATGTGTTGAACGAGATCGCCGATTATTTCGTGCTTGATGTAGTACAACATTCGAACGCGTAAAAGAACCCTACAAGCAAACATCAATGTTACCAATTTTCTATAATCTGTGTTTAACTATCCCACTGTGTTAGTTTGATTTCAGTAACGCTAAAACTTTATTTCATCAAATACCTAAAGTATTTTCGAAATTAGCATGGAACTCATCATTAGTTTGCACGATTTTCTGACTTAAAATTGACGTAAATACTGCTGCCGTAATTAATGCTGAACATGAAAGAAAATCCACAGTAACTGACTGAAAAATAAAAATTGTACATTTATATATTTGTCAAAAGATCTAGTACCGTTAGTTTGTCTTTCGTGTTCAAAACATCAGACATAACCTACCAAAAATAATCTATTTAGTTGTAACTGAAGTTGTAAAGATAGGCAAACTGGGACACTGTACTTATTTGTTCCATAAAAGCTAAGATCAGCTCGTATACGTGACAAAAAGCTAAGCCTAGACTGGAATGTCATGTCGCAACAAATTGTGTTAATACTAGTACAGTCTACTCCATGACTAAAGGTCATATAGTAATATGAGAGGTGTAGATTCCAATGTGCTTAATGTAACAGGAGTCATATTCAGAAAATCGCCAACACATCTTCCTATCCCTTCCTGTCCAGAATTTGTGTTTCAAATAAGACAATCTGAGTCAATTTTTTTTAATCTAATTTGATTAAAATACAATTAAGGTTGGCATGTACCATCTTCGTCATCGAAAACTTCAACCACCTTTGCTGCCTTATACTCGTATATGGTTTCTTGGTCAGCTGCGGAATGCTGGTGGCGTTAACAATAAACACTCACTAAGAAAGAAATGCTGCCAGACCATTTACATATTCATCAATTTGTATACAACCAGTTAATCTCACACGAGAACACAAAATAATTACAATTGAAGTATGTATTTTATTTTTACAGTTCATATATTTCAAAGAATTTTTGTAGACGTATTAACATTAAAGAAGCCACTCTACTGGAGGGTCTATGGCTTTCACATAAAAAATCAAAAAGCAGTTTGTCGTTACTAATTTTTTCAACTTTTTTTTTCGAAAAGGCATTGTAAATTTTTATATTATAAAATAAAATGTGTGGTACTTTATACAACACGATATTCTCCAAAATACAGTGCCCCAAACAACTTCATGCAACGCCGATTCTTAACTCATTTGACGTTTTTAAATGCTTACTTGTTAGCATGTCTGCCTAGGTGTTTCTTGTAATTACTTTCCAAGAATATATCCCCATCATATTTTTCGCTTTTGCTCCAATGATTAGGATCAGTAAGTGCCGCATGTCGGTTATCTTTCCCTTTCTTCTTATTTTTGTTCCTTATTCCTCTGGGAACGGGATCCTTCAGTCCGTGATGATTCCTCGAGATTTTCTGCTCTCCGTTTTCCGACGGCGCAATCAAATCCCAGATGAAACTACGAATCTTTTCATCCCCTCTGTAGAATCGGAGACAATAAAGCAACTGAAACAGAAAAGCACATTCAACACAACTGCTGGAAATTAATTTCCCGATACTTACAATAACTCGAGCACAGTCCTCTACGTCCTGTTCCCTCCAACCTTTCCGTAATTGCGAGTGTTGTAAAATCTCTTGCCACCTCCCCCATCCGAAGGTTAGAAGACCCCTTTCTACCATGAAACATTCCCTCCTTGCCCAACTACCGTATACAATATCACCCCTTTCACCCTCTCGTGGAATATAATCGTCACCTCTCAAACGTTTTTTCTTTAGTTTACTTCGACGACTACGTATACCCAAACTCAAACCTTCATTATCCAAGTCAGAATCAGACGAACTTTCAAGTTCAGACATATCGATGGCGCTCTCGTCGTGGCCGTATCGTTTGATTTGAGTTCGTCTTCGAGGTTCTGAAATGACAAGATCTTCTGTTTCATCCTTTTCAGTAGTATCGATGTCGGCTTTCTTCGCCCACTTGTTCCAGAAATCAGGATCATCGATATTAATATCGGAGCGGTTAGCACTAGAGGCAAAACTAGCTTTCGAAAACGTTGAACCTTTTTCCGACTCCATAGTAATGACTTGAGTTCGTCGAGCCAAAATGACATCGATATCTTCTTCGCAGAATTTATCACCGTCATTTTCTTCATCGAGTAATGCTCCGTAAGCACCTTTCTTTAGGAGGTCTTCAATTTCCTTTTTGCTAAGTTGTTTCGTTCCAGAGTCTTTACCTCCTTGAGATGTATTCATACTCTGCAAAATAGCCTTGTCCAAACCTAGCTTTAGAGATGCTTTGTCAAACATCTCTCTTTCGTACGTGTTACGACATAATAGGCGGTAGATCTTGACCATCTTTTGTTGGCCGATTCTATGACATCTTGCTTGTGCCTGCAAATCATTTTGGGGGTTCCAATCGCTGTCGTAAATAATTACTGTATCCGCTGCTGTCAAATTAATGCCTAAACCCCCTGCTTTAGTGCACAGCAAAAAAACAAAGCGGTCTGAGTCTGGTCGAGAAAATCTATCAATTGCAGCTTGTCGCAAATTACCTCTTATTCTACCATCTATTCGTTCAAACGGGTATTTCCTAAACATGAGGTAATCTTCCAATATATCTAAACAACGTACCATCTGACTGAAGATCAAAACTCTATGACCATTCGCTTTCAGTTTTGGTAGTAACTTATCGATCAAAACCATTTTACCGCTAGAGTTGATCAACGCTTTGTAGTACGCATCAGGGTCTTCTCCTTGTGCCATCTTGTAATCATATTGGATCTGATCTTCTGCACCATTCAACAAATACGGATGTATGCAACATTTTCTTAACTCCATCATGGTGTTCATTAAGTTAGGTATGTTAGCGTGTGTAGTACCTTTCGACAGAAATGAAAAGTTCTTTTCTAGAATTCCTCGATAATACTTCTTCTGAATATTTGTTAGTTCAACCTCAACGACTGTTTCTTCTTTGGGTGCTAACGACTTTTCTACATCTTCTTTCAATCTTCTTAGCATCATTGGTTTTAGAATTAGTTGTAATTTTTGGACTTCTTGTTCCGACTTCAGTGCTCCAAATTCTTGTAAAAATAAATCGGAACTAGGGAACTGTTGTGGTTCGAGGAAATTAAGAAGCGAGAACAGTTCGTTGACGTTATTTTGTAATGGTGTTCCTGATAAAAGCACTCGATGTTCCAATGACAGCTGCCTGAGACCTTCCAACAATTTACAATTGCGATTTTTTAACCTATGCGCTTCGTCTATGACACATATTCTCCAATTAAAACCCTTTAAGTCGGCGAAATCTGTAACTATTATTTCAAAAGTCGTGATTAAAATATTGAACTTCGTTATGTCTTTAATAGGATGGCCTTTATCATTTTTAAAATACATTTCGTATTCTTGTATCATGTTTCTGCTTGCTGCAGAGCCATGATATACTATGACGTTCATATCAGTCCAACTTTCAATTTCTCTCTGCCAGTTTGGTATCGTCGACAAAGGTGCAATAACTAAGAATGGTCCTCTAATGCCGTACTCCCAAATTGCATTCAAAAACGTTAAACTCTGGATAGTTTTACCCAAACCCATTTCGTCAGCTAGAATACAATTCCTTCCGTTGTACCACGAAAACAACAGCCAATTTAACCCTTCTAATTGATACTCCCTAAGACTGTTTCCACCTTTGTAAATTGGGGATTTTTCGAGTTTCATCCAGGAATCAGGACTAGGTCGTTTCTTTGGTTTCCATTTATCTTTGGGTGGCATTTGTCGGAACTTTTTAAATTGTTCAATTTTTATTGGATCGACATCTTCTTCCAACTCCCAAGTACAATCTTCATACTGCAAAGCTCGCCATTTTACAAGATAGTGTTTGATTACTTCTTGAGTGGTCGGATCTGTATGTTCGGCAACATCTAATACTCTGTCGACTTCCACGTAATCCGGATTGAAGGGTTCGTCTTCTAAATTTTCGAATATGTTAACATTTTGTGCTTGTTTTTGCTTGAATCGTTTAATTTTATTCGCAATCCTTTTATCTCCTTTGTATAACTCTTCTTCAGTCTTCCATTCACAGTGCAAGTAGGAAAAATTACGATATTTTACGTAGTATTCCTCCACATCGACTAACTCAGATTCTTCACCTTCTTGCTGTTCACCTTCAAGTTTTGGTTCGGGTGGGGGTTTGTCCACTTCTTCGTCTTCTTTTCCTTCGATATCAACTTCTTCACTCTTTTCTTCCTCGATTGTTTTATCTTCTTCAATTTTTTCTTCAGATGGCAGTTCGATTTTTCTAGGTTTCTTCGTAATTCTAGACGATAATATGTGTTGTACAACCATAGAATCTTCGTCCGTAGTATTAACATAAACGAAGTTCATTTTATTACTGCCATCACCAGAATTATCTTCGCCCTGAACACCTGGTGTGCCAGCAGACAAAGGCACAGGTGGAGTTGATGGTATTCCTCCTTTTTTATTTTTATTGGGCACAACTGGAGATTCATCGTCCGAAAACCGCAACATGACGTCATCGATATACTTCTTTCGTTGAGTATTCCTCGCAGATCGTCTTTTATGAATTGCGTTTTCGGGATCCTCTGGTGGTGACGGAGGTGGAGTGCTCACTAGATCTTCACCTTCTCCATCTGATTCTTGAACCATTCCCTTCCGTTTTCGTCCTTTTGCGAGACCTGCTTTGCTTTTTGCTTTAGTCGATATTACTTTCTTGGCACCAGGTTTAGTTTTCCTATGTTTTCTAGGTATCTCGCCCAACTCTTGTGGGCTAGTAGGTTGATCTTCAAAAGTATATTCGTCTTTTTTAATTTCTACTTCCACGCCATCAAGATGCAAGATGTCGGAAGGTTGTGACGAATCTGCTTGTATTTCTTCCGAGTGAAGATTAAGAGTAACAGACTCCGTAACGTCGCCAGAATCGGGTGTGTTCGAATCATCCCCATGTTCTTCCGTCGATACTTCAGAAGAAATCATTTGATGTTCATTGTCATAACCTTTATTGAAAGATTCGTCGGTTGCACTTTCTTCTGAACCGTCCAATTTCTTTTTTCGTACATATTTTCTTTTAACTTTTGGATCTTTTGGTTCGCGTTTTTTTCTTTCTTTCGTTTTCTCTTTTGGAGACTTTGGAGCTTTTGCTTCTTTGGGCATTTTAGGTTCCTTTGGTTTCTTCGGTTCTCTTGGTTTCCTCGGAGTTTTAAGTTTTTTCTTATCATCGAATTCACCCGTAACTGGATCCACAGATAACTCAGTTATCTCTGACATTTCACTGGACGGGATATTTAACCCAGCGCCAGGTGTTACACAATCTTCAGACACTGGAAGTTGTTGAGCTGGCATCATCATATTCATACTCTGTGACATATGAACAGGTGACACCGCCTTTTCTCCTTTCTTTTGTCTTGGCTTTTTAGCACGTTGTGCACCTTTACCCCGACCTCTTCCGGTCGTACTTGAAACTTGAGGACTATCGATCATTGGAGATGTAAAGAGCGGACTTTGTAAAACGCATTGAGGACCTCCGTTACACTGCTCAGTAGCTTCGTGTTGACTAAGAATGTTTAGCCTCTCTTGTAAGTGTGCGATTTTTTCTTGATGTTCAGGAGCAGGTGGCATACAATACAATTCTTGGAGCTGTTGCTGTAGAGCAGCTCTCTCCTGGTGGTGACTAATTGGAGGCTGGTATCCCATCTCGGGCCCTGGCGGCATCATGCCATGACCGGCGTTCATGTTGGACATCATAGGATGACCCATATTTATGGTCATGCCAGGATGACCCATGGGAGGCATACCGTGAGGCATTCCCGGACCCATTCCTCTAGGTGCACCCATGGGCATTCCGTTAGGTCCTAATATGCCCGCATTTTGGTCGTACATCACAGCAGTCTGATTACTAGGAGTCAAATTTGTAATAGTAGTATGTGGTGGCATATTTCCACTTTGAGCATGCTGAGGAACTGGTGGCATCTGTCCGTGAGATGGCACCGGAGGAATTTGATTAGAGGAAACATTCTGCATATTTCCTTGTGGTATTCCAGTCATATTACTCGTGGGAATTGGTACGTTGGACATATTGGTTTGATTTTGCATAGGAGGTGGTGGTGGTCCCTGATTTTGCAAAGTGGGAAGTTGTGAAGGTTGCTGCTGCTGAGGTGGTTGTGATGGCGGCGGCGGCTGTTGTGCTGGTGGCGGCTGCTGTTGCGGCGGGTTAGACATCATTGGTACCGATGGCATTGAATTGTTCGCTACTTGTATAGGAACCACTGGAGTAGCTTGCGGCTGACTTGTAGCACCAACTGTTTGTAGATGTGTTTGTTGCGACTGACTAACATTCGTTTGCACAGAAGACGTCGGTAAACTTATAGAAGTCTGTATTGGCGACGTTTGTAAACTAACAGATCCGAGATCTTTGTTTACTTCCGGCAAGGAATCTTGAGATACAGAATTATCTTGACTGAACATTGGCACGTTTGATTGAACCAAATCATCCATTTTGCTAGCTTTCGGCGGCGTTGGTTCACTTGGATAGCCCGACATACTAGATACACAATTGAAATCTGTGAAACTGTTCGTTGTATTGGTTTGACTTTGAGAGGGTTGTTGAGACGTTGAGTTTGTGTTAGATATTTCATCATGAGTTTTATTGCAGTCGTTAGAGGGAAGACTTATGTCTTGCGTATTAGTTACGTTATCATCTGTAGTCGATGAAGGTGTCGGAGTTGGGGGATGCGATGAAATCGTGTTACTCCCAGAAGTCGGTAAATTTAAATCAGTATTCGTAGTGCTACTTGGAAATTTATCAGGTAAACTAGTCGTAGGCGATTGCACTGAACTGAAGTCGTTCTGTGAGCTAACCGTTACGTTTTGAGGCGTCGGATCGCGCACCTGAGACGTAGGCATTTCGGGAGGCATTGATATAGGCGGTTTACTGATTTCATTACGTAAATCTTTACTGCCAAAATTTGCGGTCATACTGGAATCAGTAGGGACACTAGTATTTGATAAATTCGTCGAAGGAGGCAACGTTTGAGTCGAAGGTATACTTTGACTTGTCGGTATTTGACCCTGGTCCATAACTCCCAAAGGTGGACCGTTTATGTTGGGGACATGTGACGTTTGTCTAGGAGGATGCGGGGACCACTGTTGGTCAGCCATTTGATTTCTGATACTCATCGCAGGTGACAAAGGATTTTGAGGTGTTTGGGGTGGCCCAAGAGTGTTTCTTTGTTGCTGATAAGTGGGGTATTCGGTGGTATTTGTACTTGATGGTGGCATAACCATCTGCTCCAAGGCTTGCAGTGTACTTTGCTGAGAGTATGCCGGAATGGGAGCAGGAGAAGCTGTTGTTGTTTTTGGAGTGAGGCTTGTTGCTGGCCGAGGACTAAGCGTCGTCTGCTGCATTTGGGGATGAGGAGACATGTTAGGCTTCGCCGGCGACATCACAGGCCTCGGAGACATCTGTGGCGCAGGTGGTCTCGGTGACATTTGTGGTCTAGGTGACATTTGAGTTTGAGGAGATAATTGTGGGAAAGGCGCCCGATATTGCGGACTTGCATTTCCTAACGTGCTAGCAGAATGTTTCGACGAGAACTGTTGAGGAGGTGGCTGAACATCCAGAGGCCTTTGCATGGACTGCATAGTCTGATGCGTCTGACTGTAGCTCATGGAAGTAGGATGAACCATCGGATTCTGGGCAGCTAACTGCTGAGCACTTGGGTGACCTTGCGTGGGACCGTGTCCTGGATGGGGAGGTTGTGGCATGTGCCCCGACGTTGGTACGTTGTGAGAAGATGGGTGACCAGCGAGTGTTTGAGCATGGCTCATTTGGCTGTACTGAGGTGGTGTTGGGACGTCCATATCCAACTGGTGGCCATACTGATGATGATGGGGTAAGCGCTGATGCATGTAACTGCTGTATCCTTGCCCTGTTGCTGCAGTCGGATAACCTGCACCCGCTTGAGGATAATGCGGTGCATGTCTTTGTTGTATTTGGTAACCGCCTTGGTGCGGTTGTTGCATCATTGGGTGTTGCGCGGGTGGAAACTGTTGCTTGGGTTCCTGCTGGTGACCGTATGCAGGCATGGGTTGCTGTCTGTACCCGCTCATTTGGCCGTATCGGTGCATCGGATAGCCGGCGGCCGCGTGTTGACCCCACTGTTGCATGTTGGTCGCATCCATATTTCCTAGCTGATGATCTGGCATCGAGTACATGCTGTCCGTTTGGTACGGATACTGAGCTCCTGTTGCTGCTTGTGGGGGCGCCGGTGGTCTCGCCATTTGTCTCTGATGGGGATAGGCACCTCCCGGAGGTCCCATCGGTCTGTCTGTGCCGTATCCCTGAGCGTACATACTTTGCGCGTTAGGGTCCATGTGATTAAAGTCTGTACCACCAAAGGAAGCCAATTTTTGAAGAGGCGTCTCTTGCGAGTAGGTGGGCTGGGTATAGGCCGATGTTGCATTTCGTGCTCCCGTCACCGCAGGGTCGAAGTGATCAGTGCCCAATTCGGGCAGACCTTCCAACATTCCAGATCCATCTTCCCCGAACAAGTCGTATGTGTCCATCGCTTTAAGCGGCACATAGCGTCTCTTTGCTTTTCATCTCACCACAGCATCGCTGCAAACAAAAAGACAAATGCAAATCATTATTACGACAGATATTTTACGACAAAAATGACACGCATGTTTACTTTTTTAAGTTTTTTAACTGGTTAACGATTACAGTTTATTTGTGCCTTTTTGAAAATGTTCAGAAAGCAAAGGTATCGTACAAAACAAACAATTTTTGTGTATTTTAAACATTTTAAATTTATTTTACGAAAGCAGAAGGTGATTGCAGATAAGACAGTGAACAATTATCTTTATTACTCATGCATTTGACTCGTCGATATCAAACTAGCTATTTTTGCATGGTGTACATAAACTCTACCACGATATTAAAATACCCGGTAAAAATAGAAGTCACTTAAAATGATTGTATCTGACCCAACATTAACGAGAAATGTTAAATTGGTACTTTAAATCAATCACTGTTGTACATAAAATTTAATAATGAGGATGTTACGTAGATTATAAGAGTTTTCTATTTTTTACAGTATATTATATATTTTTTAAATCCGACAGTTATGAATTTGATATGATTATTTTCAACGACTATATTTTTTTTGTTTCGCGTGAACCCATTAATTACAATAGAAATTTTAGTCAAGTGAAGTTCGTTATCTGCTAATCGTTTAATATCTAGTGTGATCAACAAGTTTTTTTTTATTTATTACGAAATTAAAAATATAATTGACTGAACTTCGACAACGGGAGATACCTCTTCCTTGTTTACTTTCATAGAATAGAGATATGATCTCATAGTCTATTTACTCCTTTAGCAGTTTTAATCGAAAAAATTACTTCTTATATAAAATCTATAAATGAGCCAAATATATTTTGTTCCTCTATAAAGTTCTATACAAACTAAAAACAATTTAGTCGATTCAACATTAGACGAAAGTGTCAGCCTATGTGTGATGTGCCATCTGTCACAAACATGAACATGGCGTACTATACACGAGGAACGTACAGTTCACTGAATTGCTTAAGTGGAATGAATGATTAGGATGCAATAAAAAAGATTTTGAGAAAAATGTATCACCTTCAGCTTATACCATTCAATGAGTAATATCTATATTCAACTGGCACGCGTGTATTGTATTAAATGACGATAATCCAAAAACATCGTTATAAAAAAAATTCAATATATAATCCAAGTTCATATTATAAACGTAATGCCAAAATATTTCACTCATATTTTGTTCCTTAATGGTGAGTTTGCATTTCGAGCTTCTCCAAAACTTGTGTATATCGCTTGATCAAGCTGGTCGAAAGTTATTATTTGTCTAATAAAAATCTGGATAGACTGCAAACTGACAGAAAGATGGAAACGGAAGATCAACTTTTTAGATCTAGTGGTCATGAAACGTGGAGAAAACATGAAAGTCGCTACGACCTTATTACAATACATTCTTAGCTTACGTTTGGGCAGTAAAAGGGAAAAAAAAAGCATTCATACACCTAATTTTAATAACACTCTTGGAAGAAATTTGTGCTTTAAATATCCTGTGATTTTTTTACTATTTGCTTTCATGCTTTGGTAAGGTGTCTTACAAATGTTCTTTTCAAAATTGCACGTTTATGTGATGTTGTTAATTACAGACAGTATTTTTTTTTATTTTGAAAATGAAATGAGATTGGGAAAACGTTCAACAAAAATAATTAACCTTAAATAACCTGTGTGTTGTTTAAACATTCATATACGCAATTAACTGTAAAAAAATTATGTGTGTGGATTTACATGCCTAAAAAAGCTTAAAAGCATGTTTCAGAACCGCGGTGTGACTAACATGTAATTCAAAGAAAAAAATACAGCAGAGCACTATTTTCATTCTTAAATTAGTGTATTGTAGTCACTTTTCCTTGCATTCCGTAAGTAAACCTTTCAAATTTAATAATGTCACTTAAAATTGCTCAATAAGTCATCATTCGCCATTTACTTTAACCGTTATGTGTCATTTTATAATTAAATAAAAAGTTTACTCATATGTTCAACAACTTTTTATAAAACGACTATAAGATTAACAAATTAAAACGTTTTACGATTCTGTGATTCAACAAATGTTAATATCGCGTTCTTTTACAGTGAGAGAACAGTCAAGTCTCTATATGTTACTAATTAATCCAAATTACTAGGTTAAAAATAAAAATTACAGTTAAGTTCTTGAATACTTAACTTTTTTACCAGATCTTGCCATCGATTGAGTCTGTTATAATTATTCTACTTTCACCAATAATATACTGTTATCAATATTCTACTTGACCATTTTTTATCCGTTTACTGGTTTAAACGGGCCTATAAATTCTATACGAATAAAACGTTTCGAATGTTTTAAAGTGCTGTTATCTTTTTAGCCAAATGTTGCATTTATTTTTGAACATCGTTGCTTGAAAATGAAGATCGAATCTTACTACGTGTACACAAAAATTTAAAAAATTGAAAACCAAAGCTATAACTTTATGTTAAACAATTTCAATGCGTAAATTACAAATACAACCAATTAAGTATCTTCAATATCTCTTATCTTCAATATCTCTTCAACGACTGACTATATAACATCTAAAGCTAAATCGAAATTATTTTCATACTACTTTTACAAAAAAACACGCACGGCAGTTTGTTTTTACTGCATGTACTATAAAGTTTTATGATCATGAAATTTAAGAAGCTACCAGTTTTTCAAAATCCGAAAGACATGTAAAAGAGCCGGTGGGGGCCAAAAAAAACTTGGACGCACAATTTTACGTAATCACAAGTATGTCATTTTACAAAGAATGATGAGTAGTTTGCTTGTAATTACAGTTGGTAAAAGATAAGTCTGCAGTAATCGTCAATAACATTGATTGTTAACAAATCAATTGTTGAATGCAAATATTCTTACGTTAAAAGTATTTCGATGTTTGTGTGATATAAAACTATTATAAACACAGTTCACGCGATTATAAATTTTGTTTGAATTTTTTTTTATTTTAAATGCGAACAATATTTAAATACATAATACTATTGTTTCCCAGTTCTCTTGAAATACTTCGTGAAGCATAATAAAAATAACTTATTATTTTTATTCACGTAGCATTTACCCTATTACTATATTTTTTATAGTGGAAGCTACTCACAATCAAGATGATTTTTATTAAACACTAGCTGACCCCGTGAACTTCGTTTCACCTACAATTTAATTTTGAATCTGCAAAATCGAATGCTTTGAAATCTTGCAGATGTTTTAAACATATGATAAGCATAATAAATTTTTATTCAAAATATATTTACTTATCCCCTCCAAAAAATTGATGACGTCAGCCCAAAATTTTGCCAAATGAATCCTGTCTAAAATGTCCAAAATAGGATGAGACTATACTTGTGATTTATCATTCCATTCATATTTTTTAATTTTGCTTATAGGGGGTGTCTCGAAAAAATTAATCACTGAGTCAATTTATTTTATTGATTGAATCCAGAACTGCAAAACTGAATTTTGAAATTTTGTAGACATTCTGAAGTTACTGATTGACATGGTAGGTTTTCAATCAAAAGATATCTGTTTATCAAGCCCAAAATCTTGAAGACGTCATCTCAAGATTTTGCCGAATAAATCCTATCGTAAAATGTGGAAAACATCATCAGTATATTTTCGTAATTTATCATTGCATTCATATTTTTTAGATTTGCTTTTACAGTGACTCAAAAAAATATATGGATCAGTCAATTTATTTTAGTGAATAACTCAAGAGTTGCAAAAATGAATACTTTGAGATCTTGCAGACGTTTTAAAGTTATTGTAAGTATGGTAAATTGTTAAGAATATTTATTTATTCCCCTAAAAAATTGATGGAATGGCTCACTCGATTTTCGCAGATAATTTTGGGAATACAATACAGTTATTTTTAGTATTACACTGCACCAATCCAAGGTGGTATACGTGTTGATAGTAAATGTTGATTAGGTCTTCACAAAATTGTGTGAAGAACAGACTCAACTCGAAAATGCTGAATAGGTTTTATTATACTTTTGGTGCGAAGGAAGTTCTGTCGAAACAACGTTCGATCAATTTTTTGACAATGGTTGATATAAATAAAACTCAGTAGATGCTCATACTCGAAATACGAAGTATCTACTCGAATATCAAATCAAAATATTTCTAGTTTTTCTAGATGATACTAATACTTCAGTAAGTAACAGTTGATGCTCAAGTAGCATCTCGATACAACAAAAAAGGACAACAGTGACAGTGTTCAACCATCAAGGCAAAAATCGAGTTACCAAAATATAAGTTAGCATGGGGTAGACACCTTGAGATGGGAATCTCTATGGCCAGTGTTAGAAAAAACGCACTGCACAATTTATGCATAAATAAAAGTTAATTACATGAAAAGTTTTCGATATTCCTGCTCCTAATGTGTTTTTCAAACTGAATGCACCTTTTGGCGACGCTCCACGTTCATGAAAGTCACCATGTTTAGTTAAAATTCACTCTTACAGCGATCCTACTGGTTTTCTAAGCTGCTTTACAGACAGCTCAGTTATTTGCCACGCCGATGCTCATTTTTAGATTAAATGCTCACAAAACGCGTAGATGTTCAGTTTGTGTCCGGGGAGATACAATGTTTCCAAGTAGGTACTCAGTACATAGAGTAGATGCTCAGGTATATAAGAGTAATAATGAAGTAGGTACTTCGTACTTCGAACATGAGCATCTACTCAGTTTTATTCATACCACCCTATGTCTCGCTTCAATGTTTGATTATGTTGATTATGAGCACAACGCTGTTCAACTTCCATATCCGAATTACCCATGAAATAAATCATTGCGGTTTGCACCTGAGGTAGTTCGTCGCACATTTGATTGACTTCGTGGACCTATGTGAGCTTGTCGTCTTCTCGGCATTTTAATGAACTTCATAAAACGACACAGAATTATTTTCACAGTCAATCCAATCTGTAAATTTTGTCTTGAGAATTTTAAAATATTGAAAACTTCAAATTAAATCCTCGAATAACGGTAAAGTTTGAGGTTT